ATCTGTAATACTAGTGCTCCTAGAGTGAGGGGGGCAGGGATAGGAGACCTGAAGAAGTCCTTCCTTCCCTTCCTTCCTTCCTTCCTTCCTTCCTTCCTTCCTTCCTTCCTTCCTTCCTTCCTGCCTTCCTTCCAGTTCCAGGGACTCTGATGCCCTCTTCTGACCTCCGTGGGCACTGCACGAGTGCACTTGCACATGCAGGCAATACATTCATACACATAAGAAATATTTTTTAAAAAAGAAAAATATTCAGGGGCTAGGGAGATGGCTCAGTGGGTAAAGTGCCTGCTTTGTAAGCATGAGGACCCGATTTTAGATCCCCAGCACCCATGTAAAAGTCAAGCAGTATGTACCTATAATCCCAGCACTGGGGAAGAAAAAGGCAGGTGGCTCACTGGAGCTCATTGGTCAGCCAATCACATCACACCAAGCACCCATAGCTTGGTGAACAGGATGAGTCGGGGTTACAGACAAAGCACCCACGTTTCTCGTTTCCCAAACATCTGGCCACAGGCAGTTCTGGAAGCCTGTGAGAAAATGATTCTGCTAGGCTGAGATGCCTCGTCATGTGGGCAGAAACAGACACTCTCTGCTATCTGAGATATCAGCAAATCCTCTATCTCTCCTTCCTCAACAGGGCACAGCACCAGGGTAAATGTGGAGGTGGGCACTGAACTGACCTGAAATTATCCCTTATCATTCACATTTTAAAGTTGGAATACCTCCCCTGTCTGAGAAGTGAAGTCTGTGTGCTTCTGAAACAATCTTGGGAGAGCTGGGCAATAGTTTCCTCTTTAAAAAGGATAGTATGGGGTTTATCCTACTAAACCAAAGATCCTAAAATTTGCTTTAGAAGCTAAATACAGAATATGCTATTTGGTTCTGTGTAATGCTGCTAATTGTTGCTGGCTCTTTTATGTATAGATGCCTCTTGCACTGTTAGCTGTCTAAAGGACAGGTATTGGATAGTTGTAAATGTGTATGCAATTATTTAATGTTCATATTAGTTTTTACTCTTGTGTTTTTGTAAATCTAATTGTCTGTTACAGTCTACTGAAGTAGTTACTGACACTAAGGAACCTGAACAGTATTTTTTGAGATGCTAGGGTGTAACCTGCAGGACAAATAGAATGGACTTCAGGTATACCTGATTTAGGAGCTAATCCTTAACTCTTTAGTTGCTTAAAATTAGGCCTAAAGGACTTACTGGCACGACTTCCCATCTGTCATGTAACTTCCCCTGGAACCAACCTGAGCAAACCTGATCCCTCACACACAGACTGCAGGTTGTTAGAATTGAAATAAGGTCATGCTGGGCCTGGTAGCACATGCCTGTAATCCCAGCACTTGGAAGGGAGCTGAAGCAGAGGGATCATAAATTTGAGGCCAGCCTAGGCTTCAGTGTTAGAAATGGATCTGGGGTCCCAAGAAAATGACCACACACTCCAAAGTATTTTGGCAAGAGTTTTCCTTCTGCAGAAAGATGCACACCCACTGGGAGTCCTGCTGGATTGCTGTACCTAACACAAAGGGGTCCTGGGCTTCACATGGTTGGCTTAAAACTGCAGCTAGTAAGCAAAATGCAACTTTTGTGAGTTTGGATGCAACTTTGAACACAAACTTTAATCTTAGGAAAATGTCAACTGGGGAAGGCAGTTTTGCCAGGTGTTTTTACAAATTTCTTTGAAGATGGAACTTTGTCTCATTTAACTCTTTGATGGAAAAGCCAGTCTATTCCATCCACATTTCCATAAAGGCAAGACCGTCTCAAACCAACGTGATGGCTGTTTGTTCCAGACCTTCCAAAAGTAAAGGCCAAGTGGTCACGCAAAATGGTTCTCATGCAGTAACCTGACACTATCTGAATGTGTCCTAATCTAATGTGTCCTAATGCATCCCGTTACACATTTAGACAAGGTCGCTATTTCATCTTAAGATTGAGGTGTTAGAGGAGAGGGGAACGGAACCAGCAAGTCTAGTAGGAATAGATATATTTTAAGATGCTTGCTCTCAAATCGACTGACTCTAGAAAGAAGACCCCAAGCAAAGAATTTCCCCAGCAATCTCCTGCAGGGAGAGGAAATGGCTGAAGCTGTGGGGACATCCAGAGGAATTTATCTCCTGGAGAGAGTGACAACTTTGTCAGATGACCTTGCAAGAGAGGGCTACGTGGGCAGGGGACCTCACCTTTTTGGACAGATAGCTTAGTTATGTGTATCTCTGTTATTTAAAACTCCACCCTCATGTTAAGGCTTCCAAAGACTTCAGGCGTCACTGGATCTTTGTCTCTTCCCAATGTGGTCATATTGAATAAATCTCCCCTTTCTGCTTCTCACTATTAAAAAAAGGGACTGTGTGGGCCAGGCGTGGTGGCAAACGCCTTTAATCCCAGCACTCGGGAGGCAGAGGCAGGCAGATCTCTGTGAGTTCAAAGCCAGCCTGGTCTACATAGCGAGTTCCAGGACAGCTGGGGCTACAGGGAGACCGTCTCAAAAAGACAAAAAAAAAAAAAAAAAAAAAGGGATTGTGTATGTGTATTTCCCATTGTGTGTGTGCGTGCGCGCGCATGTGTGTGGTATGTATGTATTCGTATCTGAGACAGGTTCTCACTCTATAGCCCCAGCTGGCTTCAAACTCACAGCAATCTTCCTACCTCAGCCTGGCATATAAAGGCATATTTAACTTTGCTTCCGTCAATGAAAGAAACAGCTCTCACCTCCTACCCCCAAAGGAGAAACATAGTTTATTCTGGAGCCAAGTAAGAGTGACCGTCACCTGGGAACAGAGATTTAGGTCTCCCCAAATACCATGCTACAATGAGGAAGCAATTTCATCAACTTTTTAGAGTAACAACAAAGAAAGTTATAAACACTTTCAAATACGCTGGTGGGTGCATTTGGTAGGTGTATTACAGCTTAGCTGTAACAGTTCTGCTGTAGGCCTGGAATGCTGACATCATTCTCAGCCCTTTAGTTCTTCAGAAGGTGGTGGTCTGCTAAGACAGTACATTTCAAAATGTTTTTATCTGCTAGTCAGATGTTAGATCAGAGACAGAGGTGGGCAAGGAATGGCTGCTCAGGGGGCTAAAGATGGCCCAAGAATAAAATGTAAATAGTAACTAGGCTCTGGACCTGCAACGCTCCAGACTCCTCACAATCACTGAAGTTCACACAAGCTGATGAGCCTTGCAGGACTCTTAGTTGAAGATGCGTTTGTTTTCATTTCTGCTTAATTTCTTTCATTTATACTAGAAAGACCGCTAGAATAAAGGTCGTCTGGCTCAGCGGTTAAGAGCACTGTCTGCTCTTGCAGACCTAGGTTCAGTTCCCAGCACCCACATGGATGCTAATAACCACCAGTAACTCTACTTCTGGCCTCCACAGTCACTGCACCACACCGGTGCACCAACATAGGGAGGTAAAACACTCATACGTTTAAAAATTAAAGTCATCTCATATCACCAGAATACGAACTCAGTTCATCTAAGAATTGATTAAATAACAATTGCAATGACATCAATGACCAAACATCTATACTCCCACCTCCCGGTGTGTGTGTGTGTGATCTCCAACTATAAACATTAGACTACAGCTATTCAACAGGCCTTTTCCCTGTCAGGGAGAGCTTCTGCTTTCTACCTGACAGGTGTATTGCATCCCACCTTAAGAGTGCTCCCAGGCTGCTTTTCCCTAGCTCCTGGTTCCACAAGCTTCATATGATACTAGATTGGCACTGGTTTTGTTGCTCAGATTCTGAGAACCACAAAGCAGCAAGCAGATACACAGGCTGTAGATGTGTGTGTGAGATGTTTGTAGAGGCCAGAGGTCAATCTCGGGGTGTTGTTCCTCAGGCCTGCCCACACTACACTCACTGGCCTGGAATTTGCCACGTAGTTTCATAGTGGGTCCCAGGAATCCTCCAGTGCTGGATTGCCACATTCAGTTTTGTGCATAGGTTCTAAAGATCAACTCTGGTCCTCACGCTTGAATTGAGCTATCCCCAGCCCCAGGCCCCAGATTTTTAAAGTTATTTTTGTTTTACATTTTGTGTAAGTAACAGGATCTGAGAAGCATGTGGTCACTGCTTAAGACTATATGTGCAAATGAAGACTATTTTGATGATAAAAGGCTAATTCTATTCAGGATTACCTCTTATGATGTCCACTTCCAATAGTTAAAGTCAAATGTATGATACAAATCCCTAGCATAGTAGAAAAGCCACAGGGGAGCGAGTAGAACACCAAGGTAAGAGGCCCAGACCCTTCATGTCTAAAGAGGCCACGATTTTAAGACTATAAACACAACTTGGAACATAGGTGAAGCAGACTCCTCAAAAGTCCATCCTGCTGGATGGTAGTGCATGCCTAGCGGGCCAAGGCAGGAGGGTCCTGAGTTTCTGGCCAGCCTGTGCTACACAGCCAATCCAAGCCTCAAAAGGCAAAAAAACAACAACAAATGAAACTTAGGCCACTTTAGTATTTTTATAAATTTATTTAAAAAATAACAATTGCAATGACATCAATGATCAATCACCTGTATCCCCCCCTCCTGGTGGGGGAAAAAACAAAACAAAACTGTATAGTTGTGTCCCAAGTGAAAATCAAGACATTATCAGGCACCCTGTAGGCAGGAAAGGCTGTTGGTCCAGTGGCGTAGATACTGACATGTTCAATGTACCAGTGCAATTAAAGTATATATACCTTTACAATCATCCTGAAAAAAAAAAAAAAAACAAAAAAAAAACCACTCAAGAAATAATGTAACCACACATAGGACTAATTACTCACTCATCCACTCACTCTGTATCATTGAAGTTGTCACTACAGTCACAAGAACAAATAAGAACTAAGTTAAAGAAAAAAAACAAGCCAAAGGTCAGCCCCATCAGCCCCTATTTTGTGGGCTAATAATTATGTTGTACTAAAATGACCAGAATAAAAGGGCGGCGAGCTATCCGAAATGCAGAGACAAAAGAGCAACTGAAGCATTTTGTTTCAAAGAAAATACAACTCAAACACAGCTCCTCCAAATGAAAAACTCGGCAACAACGAGGTTAGTACTATGTACAAACTCATGAACACAAATAAATAGCATTTTTAGAATTGCTGGCTAAAGTACTAGACATTAGGTCTGAGGAATTTCTGCCCTTCTGCTTAGAGTCCCAACCAGCCACAAGAGAGAAATTCCTAGTTGTTTTTAGTAATATCTGAAACACTGGGGGCAGTTAGTATCTGAAAACTCTTGTCAAGAGCCAGAAATTTCTAGCGAGCTTACTAAAGGACCAGCCCCGTTAACATTCGGAAGCCAGGAGAAATTACTAGATTTGCAGAACTTGGAAGGTATCTTATCATGCTTCCTTTTACAGCTTTGTCTCTAGTTCTTCAGACACTGGTCTCTCCTTGTGATGTTCCTTTACGAGGATTAAATTCCCTCCTGTCTCAATACAAAGTCAAAGGAGCCGATCTTTACACTTGCCTGGTATTTTAACCAACCCCAAACGCCTTGGAAAATTCCTGTTTTCCTTCATTTGCAAAGACAGCAGCCAACTTCCGAAATATCATCTTGGTTTTATCTTCTAGAGCCCACCATCTAGAAAACAGGATTCTGGACTGGGGGTGTGGCTCAATGGTAGAATGCTTGCTCAGAAAAGATTTCTGAGGCCCAACTCATTCTGGGAGCTGTGGCCCAATTCCTGACCCTGCAGGAATCCCTGCTGTCAGTCTGTAGTTTATTCTACAGTATGGATGCAACGTGAATACCTTGCTGCAGAGACCTACAGAGAAAGGGGAAACAAATGGAAACTGGCACCAAAGAATCAGCTGCCATGCGGAGAACAAGAAGGCCTGCTCTCCAGGACCAGCACAAAGCACTGTAGGACTGAAGCCAACATTGTCCACATGGAGCTCCAGCAATGACCACAGCCTGTGTCCAGGACAGCATGACCCAACAGTGCTTTTTCAGAAAAAAAGTCAAGGACCTAGTCTCAGACTTCTCCCTTTCAGTGCTTCGAAAAAGTCTCAGTGTAAATGCACATTGGTCTTTTCAGCTTCAGGTCCAGGTCCATCCCAGGTGCATCCAGTGGAGAGTCATGACCTCTGACAGCACCTGGTATGCAGAGCACTCTCTAGACTGAAACACATGGGTCCATCCCTTCTCCAAATGCTGTCACGAAGCCTATGATTAAAAGTTCTAGCTTGCCCATGTTTGGGAGTTACTATAAATGTCCAAGTTTTGTTTTCTACTAGGAAAGTCAGTTGTAAGGTTCACACTCTCTAAATTGCCTTACAAGTGCCCATAGCAAGAACCATGGTCTAGACGGTCTGAAACAGAGGCATGCAGACCAGTCAAAACTAAAACGAGATCTGGCAATGTATGTTTTAGGTAATCAAGGTCTTTTGTCATTTTATCCTGAGTGCAAAGTATCCCTCTGGATTTTTCCTGGCTGACAGCGATTCTTATTGTCACCACAGATCAGATGACTGTATCTCAGTTTACTGCTCCATCTCTTATTATGGAACTTTTTGCTTGGAAGCCACTTCTGAGTACAAAATGTCCATGCACCAGTCAGTCTGATATCCTCAGCAGAGGATGGATGCGGTCTAGACTCCACAGGAAGGCGTGGGCTGTGGATTCCCTGATTGTAGATCAGGTTGAGAAGGCTGCTCTCCCCTACTGCAGTGGCTGGCTGGCTGGCCTCACCAGCCAACCTAAGTGCTTGTGTATGTAAATGCTGGGCTGGTAAATATCTCCTTGTATCATCCAAATCCTCACAATGTCAATGTCACCAACAGTCTGAAATAGGTCCTGAATGAAAGGGTGAGACAAGGGCTTGCAACTTCAATTCGCCAGACATTGCTGCAGTTACAATACTGAGCCACTTAAAAACTAAGTGGTTTCTGTCCTGTAAAAGGGCAGAGTGTGGTCACCAGTGTCCCATTGGAAGAGTTGATCAATTTCCAGTAACCGTGGGAAACAGTGCTGAGGAACCTGGTTGATCAGCTCTACCATCCACATGGGGTTAGGAAACTCGGATGATCTGTGTCATTGCTTCTTCATCAGCTTGGTTTGGATCCTAAGACAGAGACAGGGCAACCATGAATAAAATCCTTTACAACATTAGCCATGGGGAACCCCTGGCTCTCAACTCATCTTCAAGGGAACCCACACAACTTTGTCAAGTAAACGGAAGCTCTAAAATACATCTCTTAAGTGTGCACAAATGATTTAACATACAACTCTCTTAGCAATGAAGAGTCAACAGAGCTCATTCCTTAAAAGCATTTGAAACCTCACCTGGCTCCCCCATTACCAACAACTTCAGAATTGACAGTACATCACTCTCCTAGGCCCTCAGTTCTAATTTATGCTTAAGGGATAAGGTATTTGCTTCACTTAGAAAAGACCCAGAGAAAGCCCAATGGCATGCTGAATTTTAGATCCACTGTTTTGTAGACATCACATATAAATACCGAGTTAAGTTTAGCAGGACTGGAAAACATTAGCATCTACAAACTTACAGCTTTTTTTTGAGACAGGGTCTTATCATGTAGGGCTGGCTGGCCTGGAACTCAAAGAGATCCGCCTGCCTCTGCCTCCTCTAGGTGCTGGGATTAAAGGTATGCTCCACCATACCTGGTGGCACCTGTAGACTTTAATGCACTCATTTTGCAGACAAATCTGAGGCCTAAACAGTGATATGCCTAAATCAGAATCAGAAAGTCAGAAGCCCCACAGGGGCTAATTCCTAAATCTCGTTTCCATTTAGGTGTTTACTAGATCTTCAGTGTTATGGGTGAGTCCTGGGAGGCTTTTTGCAACATTCTATACAAATTACTTCAGAGTTCCACCATATCAGTCTCTGAAAGAAACCTCAGTAGCTAAGATTTGAGAAAAGACTGGAAAATATCTGGAGGTCCAAGAACTAGAGCTGGTCTTCAACAATGACCAAGAACAAGAGCACTCATCACGCCCTGCACTGAAACAAGCACTGAATGTGGAGCACACAAAACTCCCAGTGTTCTAGAGAAATGTCAACAGTAGTTATGTCACAAATGAAGAAACAGACTGAAAGAGGCTAAGAAACTCACCATGGTCCTGCTATAAGCACCTATCATGAGGATGTTCTGAACTGGCCTGCTCTAGATGGCAGTTTCAATTCACACACTGCATGAGTAGATAGCAACAAGAACAAGAAAGGCTGTCCCATGGCAGGTGAGGACCAGCAAAAACCACGAGCTCTGAAGGAAAGTGTCAGTGCTCACCTGTGGCTACACCAGGGAAACAGACTGCTGAGATGGAATTGCTTGGAAGACATACAGAAATTGTGTTAACACCGTTGAAGAAAGACGAACTTACGTGTGTCTTGAGTGGACTATAGAAACCCTACATCTGATAGAGAGACTGGTCTGGCAAGTCAGCTGGAGACTAGAGATCAAGTTACAGGATACTGCAGTAGTGTGGTACAAGTCACATGATGCTTCTAAAAATGATTAAGTAGTTATTGAGTCCAACATAACAAAAATCCTGAACAGTTAGGGAAAATAATTAGATGAGTACACTCTAAAGGAAGTAATTCAAAGGAAACACTGGGGTAAAGAGACCTAGAGATGAGAACAGGAGAAGGATGATCTTCCAGAGCCAAACCAGGCCTGCAAGAAGAGGAGTGACTGGATATGGGGACACACACCTGTGATCTCAGCATCTGTGAAGCTGAGGTAGAGTATTGCAAAATGGGGCCAGCCTGGGTTATGTAATGAGACCTTATCTCAAAAACAAAACCCAGAGGCAGATGCAAAAAGACGGAGCAAAAACTATCACAGACTGGAAACTCCAAGGACAAAGGCCCAGGGTGGGGAGACAGATTAATGGCTAAAAAGAACAGAGACCAGACAGAAAGTAAGAGATGAGAAGCTAAAGAGGCAAGCAGGCTTGTTTGTTGGCCGTAGCCAGGACTTTGGATTTAGGAAGAAAGTAGGAGATAGCTGAAGAAGCCTGAGCAGGACAAAGCTGTGGCATGGCATGACACCTATTTGAGAAGACCACGCTGATGTGCAGGTGTGAAGAAGGGGGATGTGGGGGGGACAAGAGTGGAAGAGAAGAGACAGCTGACACACTAATCCAAGCCAAAGACAAGAAGACTTAGACTAGGCTGGGATTGAGTGAGGAAAAAGAAAACATACTCAAATTATTTTTTAGAGATAAAATCTGGAAGACTTAAAGATCTGGACCGTTCAAGCTTCATGCCACTTGGTAACAACCAGCTTAGGCACAAAACACTAGCAAACTAAGAATTCTGCTGTGCACATACTGGTATATGAGCCAGTCTAGCAATGTCTAATTAGCAAAATTAGGTCTCTACAAGCCAGTACAACACAGCATGGAGTAAAGTGGGAAATTATACTACCTAGGTTTGAGTTTCAGTAGACATGTTTGGTTTTTGAGGTACTAGGATTTTATTTGAGGCCTCACTAAAGCCATGCAAGTGCTCTACCAAATAAGCTAGCTACACCCCCAACACCTTTTTACTTTGTATCTGAGACAGAGTCACTACGTTGACTGGTCTAGAACTCATTCTGTATCCCAGGGCTTGAACCTTCAATCCTGCCCCAGCTTCCAGAGTAGCTGGGATGACAGGCCAGCAGAGTCAGCTCAGATGACTCTTTAAAAGTATTTGCCCTTAAACAAGTTACTTAATTTCTCAAAAATTCAAATTAAACTTCAGAATATGGTGGTGGGAGATTAATTCCTATGAGTTCCAATGAGTTTGAGGTTACTATAGAGTTGAATTAACAACAACAAAACACAACAACAACCCACAGGCTTACCAAAGTGCTTAATGCAATACTAAATACTTACTGGCTGCTAGGAGCACCATGAAAGACAATAAAATTGTCCTTGAAAAAGTAGTAATTTTGAGCAGAAATTAATATTAGTAATTTAGAAAAACGAGAAAGGAACGAAGGCTATGGAACTAAAACTTTTAGTGCTCTAAAGACCCAAGGAAAACTAAGAGACAATGCTGGGTGCTTTAGAGAATGCGATTCACCCTTGAGTTTGCGAACAGTGGACACTGCTAGAGAAACCCAAGGCAATGGAGACCTTCAAGGGTCCTATCGCCTTACCTGCATGTGAGGACTGTCCTTTTCCTTTGGAGAGAAGAATCGTCCACCTTCACCTCGCTTCCGAGCCATGGCATGTCGGTGCCGAGATTCATGGAGGTATTTCTAAAACAAAAGACACCCCACCTTGTTTAAACCACTGATGTGTTACTGCTGAACCACCTGTATTCAGTTGTCTGGCAGGCACTCAAGGAAACAAACCACAGTAAAGGCAGTGTTAAAACAGAACCGTACTGTTTCCTTCCTGTGTGTTTCCCAATGTTATACATACTCTTCTTTCCTTTGGAATTTTCCCTTCTGCCTCTAGCTTAGCCCGAGCTTGTCTCCTCTTAAGAATGCGGTGATACTGTTTGGCATTCACGTAGAGGGGCTCTTCCTCGAGCATCTCTGCTCCAGGTAAAGGGATTCTTTGGATAGCAGGCACGGACCCAGCACCTGGCACCATCTGTGGCAATGGGAGACCAGAGTTTATTAGTGCCATGAAAATTTTAAATAAAATTACATATTTACACCTATCTGCTGTTTGGTCGCCAGTGTGAAGCATAATCCGTGATAATGGGCACTCAGAATGAATTATGCTTTGCTATAAAACTGTAAGTGGATCACTTTACATGCCGTAAGGATCAATTTCCAACCTATGAGATCAATATTCTAACCTTCTATGTGGAAAGCCAGTGCACGAGGACAGCAAGTGGAAGCACTCTTACCATGACCATTCCTCCTGAATTGACCACATTCCCCGCCACCGGGAGCGTCACAGTGACAGTCCCCTGTCCACTGCTGGTTGTGTTGGTATTGGCTCCTGTCTGAACAATCTGTGCTCCTGCCAAACTGGCTGCTGGGATGGTGATCATGCCTGAAACAGGGACTGTAACTTTGAGAAAACAAAACATAAAACAAAAACAAACAAAAAAACAAAACAGGCACACAGAACAGAAAGAAGGGAACATGGTTAGTCCCTCTTCTCTCTGGCTCCCATTCATCCTCCTGGACAAATATACTGATGAACACAGGGAAGAAAGCATCTTCTCCCACTCCTTCACTGTCTTGTTACAAATAGTCCATGCAAGCTCATTTGTTGAAAGCTCTATTTTTTTGAAATTTGTATTAACTATCTAGGGTCCAGTTCTGAATAAATCCATCCTTAAAATGAACACCCACCCCCAGGCATTCCAATAGTAAAGAGACAAGAAGGTCTGGATATCCCCCTACTCCAGTACCGGCCCACAGCAGCCAACCCCCTGCTCTCAGGCATCGAACAATCTGCTTCAGGTGGCACTTGAGGTCACATTTTTTTGAGTTCTTGCCAAAGCTCAATCCCATTCATTCGGGCTCTCTTACCACGTCAAATGGCCCATGGCTACCACACTCTTTAGATCTAATGTACTATAAAATCTTTGTCCTAACCAAACCTTCTTTCATAGAATCTGGCTGAGATTCCTTTCTAGATTTAACTTTGTTTCCAAAGCCTTCAAGTCCTACTTTGAACATGTCGAAAGTAGTCCAACCCAAGCATATTTCTTTTAACTTATTTACCATCTATTCCTAGGACATAATTTTTTTAAATATATTTTTTTTTATGTATGAGTATTCTGCCTACATGTATGTAGGTGTACCACATGCATGCCTGCTGCCTGTGGAGTCCAGAGACACTGGATCCCCTGGAACTGGAGTTACAGATGGTTGTGAGCCATCATGTGGGTGCTGGGAATGGAGTTGGGTCTGCTGAGCATCCCCCCCAGCTTCAAGCACATACTTCTATAAAGGCTCTGAAGCACTTGTGCTCACGTTTCACATTTCTCTTGCTAGACTACAGTTGAGAATTCTAGGTAAATGACTATATAAACAGTGGGCGTCTGAGCCTTTTACGAAATAAATTACTGACGCACAGACCCAGAACACAAACTGCAGGTACTCTATCCTGCAAACAGAACAAGTTGGCCATGTATGGGAACAATGAACCGACAATTAGTGGAGACGTGGAGGAAAGCTTTTGTTGGTGTTCAAGTACCATGTAGATGTCACAGTTAATATTCTGAAGCACTCAAATGTGCTCAAGAGATAAAACCAATGTACCAAAAAGTTTCAGAGCAATGTACAGCATGCTTACCTTGCTGGAGAATTGTGCCATCTGCATTAACCGGCTGATAGACGATGGTCTGCCCCTCAGCAGTCTGGGCTACTTGCTGTCCCTGGACAGCAATCTGCTGCTGTGTCTGTAGAAAACAATGAATGACTCAAGAGATTCTAAAGACACCCACACAGAACATTACCACATAGCTTTCACCCCCATTTTTATTATATGGGAAATACCTAGGTTTGTTACCTGGCCCTTCCAAATCACTATGCTTCTATGTTGATGGAGCTGGTAGACTTACCTGAGTCTGGCCAGCCGTGACTGCTGTCTGGGGCTGTTGGATGATGATCTGCTGGGTCTGGCCCTGCTGGCCTTGTACCTGCACAGCCTGCCCACCCTGGATCTGGATCTGCCCAGGTGGGACTAACTGTATCTGGGGAAGAGAACACAAAGAAGGATGGCGCCCTACTGACAACACTCCTTTGGTTCCTGCAAGTTAGTCAAATAGATTCCTCTAGAAAACGGGAAAGGCATGGTGGTAACACACCTGTAATTCCAGCACTTGGGGGGGGTGTGTGTGTGTGACAGGATGATCAGGAATTCAGGGCCAGTCTCAGCTATAAAGTAAATTCAGAGCCAGCCTGGGCTACACGAGACCCCGTCCCCAAAATAACAAAAAATCCTCCGAAGAGGGAAAAGAACATGAGCCCTATTCTAATCTTAATTATAAACTACTGATAATTCATTTTGCATCTATGAAAGCACCAAGTAATTTTAAAGCACCATATGGACACCTACTTAATCTACTAAATCTATTTAGGAATCAGTGTCCAATTTAAAAAGATGATGGTGGTATGATTACTCTTTAAAGTATGTTCTATAAAAATACCCTGAAGTGCTTTTAAAAATGAAATATATTAAACTATATTCTTTCCAATCAAATATTAAGCCAACAGCAGCCCAGTTTGGCACTCTGATGAGGACCTTGAGAGGGGCAGCTCATCAGTGCCAGGAACTAAAATGTGTGATCATCAATCTTGATTGTCCACTTGACTAAGTACAGAATCACCCTGGAAATAACTGGGCATCTCTGTGAGGGAGTTTCTAGACTGGGCTAACATGGTAGGAAGACCCACCCTCACTGTAAGTGGCACTCCATGAGCTGGGGTCCTGGACTGAATACAAAGGAGAAAGGGAGCTGAGCACCAACTTTCATCTCTGCTTCCTGACTGCAGATGCAGTGTGACCAGCTTTCACGTTCCTGCTGCCATGCCTTCCCGCCATGATGGACTGGCACCCTCACAGTGTGAGACAAAATAAATCGTTTTCTCCCTTAAGTTACTTTTGTTACAGCAATGAGAAAAGGAAACCAACATAAAACGTTTCTTGCTTTAAGCCATTAACTTCTAGGATAGTTTGTTACACAGGATAGCTGGCTAAGGCAATGGGACACTATCCTCTTAGTTGTTTCCAACACCCACACTAATGCTTAGCAGTCCTTTTCTGATTTCTGATCTGCTTACAGGTCTGGACAGCCAAACCCCAGACAGCAATTATGGAAAGCAAGACATCCTCTCTTTGGCATCCAAACTCTTTTTATTTTAATAGCTAGAGCCACTTTATTAAAAGTATCATTAGAAATTTGACACAAAGCATAAAAAAAAAGTTTTTCTTTGAAATGTTATTAACTTGGAAAAAAAAGAGCCTTTACAGAATACTTTGTTCAGTGGACAGAATCCTGTTTTCACGACGACTAGATACGTTTTTTTTGTTTTGTTTTGTCTTTTTGAAGCAGGGTCTCCCTGTAGCCCCAGCTGTCCTGGAACTCACTATGTAGACCAGGCTGGCCTTGACTCACAAAGATCTGCCTGCCTCTGCCTCCCAAGTGCTGGGACTACAGGCACGCACCACTACGTCCAGCTTAGATAAACAATGTTTTAAAGATCAAAAGAGAAAGCATTTAGGAAAGCCTCACAACTCAAAATTTTTAGTGCTTTATATTCAAGGAAAACCTACTCAAGAGTCAGGACACACAGCTACTTAAAGTACTACTTAAAGTTGCTACCCTGGGTTCTCCCACAGCTCCTCCACTAGGTTCTGTAACTACTTCTTTTCTGCTCATGTCCTCATACTCTCTAAAGGACAAGTCTAGACCACTAAGCTCCCTTAAGCTGACTGTTGATAGACGGGGAGGTGAACGAATTAGAAAAATTGGCCTGTGTCTTTCTTTTTTGGAAGCTTAAGGACTATTTTATTAATGTTTAAGAGAAAAATGAAGTACAGGCTAGATGAAAAGCCCAGCAGCTGTCAGAAGATGGGGAAAAGTCATGCCTTTCAAGTTAGGCATGGAACAGAAAGACAGTTTATTAAGAAAGGAAAAAAAAAAAAATTCTTAAGAATTAAAGTTGGAGGCCAGGCACAGTGGCACAAGCCTTTAATCCCAGCACTCAGGAAGCAGAGGAAGGCAGATCCCTGTGACTTCAAGGCCAGTCTGGTCTATATAGCAAGCTCTAGGCTAGCTGGAGCTACAGAGAGACTCTGTCTTATAAATAAATAGGGGCTGGAGAGATGGCTCAGTGGTTAAGAACAGTGGCTGTTCTTGTATTCTTTGTCCATTTCCTACTGGATTGTTTTTTTTTTAATATTAATTTTTAAAAATATGTGTTGTGGACACAAACTCATTTACATGTGCCAAAAAATCTTTTGAGTTTATACTTTTGTCTTTATAGTATATTTTGATGTATGAACTTTTTGAAGTAATCAAATCTATTCTTCATGCTTTTAAGAAACCCATCTCCAGCCAGTCTACAGGGAGACCCTGTCTCAAAAAGACCAAGATAAAAAAAAAATCTCCACTTTGCAGCATCTGCAGCATAAAGAAATTTCTGCTGGGCTGGAGGGGATGGCTCAATGGTTAAGAGCACTGGCTGCTCTTACACAGGATCCAGATTCAAATCTCAGCACTTGCATGCTAGCTAACAACCACCTGCCCTCTTCTGACCTCTGTAGGCATTGCAAGACACAGGTGCATACACGCATTAAAGAAAATTAAATATTTGAAAAAAAAAAAAAAGAAATTTCTCCTATGCTTTCTTCTACTTTCTAAGTATATTTTATTCAACATTTACATTACTGTTCTTATTTGTAAGCTGGAGATTGAACTCAGGGTCTCATTGTACTAGGCAGGTGTTGTACCACTGAGCTCCATCCCCAGTCCTATATTTAACATTTCCATGCATACAAGTCATTTTCTTTGTTCTTATTCAACCTTCTCCCCACCTGCCTTGCCTGAACCAACCAAGGACATTGATCTAATATTCCATGTAAAATTCTGCATGTAATTTGGTATCTGTGCCTTGTCTTAGAGGGCACAGGCTTCAGTGAAATTCTACAATGCACAGTATAATCCAAAAGAGGTTGAGAAGTACTACTGAAAAATGTTTAGTCAAAAAACACTGAAAGAGGCAGGCCCTTATATAAAAGGGGCGAAAGAGTTTTCCCCAGTTTACTAGATACAATTCTACTTAGAGCCACAGAAATAACCCTTCCAAGAACTAGGGGGGGGGGGGGGGAGTCCATTAAATCATAAAAGTTTGGAGCCAGAATGAACCTTAGATGTCACTTAAGAAAGCACTTTCTGATGAGAAAACTGACAAATGACCAGAAAGCTTGCTGAGTGGCAGGCCTGGCCACTGCACTGTTTGCAGTACTGTGTCATACTATCTATGCAATAGTGGAGGCGCGGGGGGAATGAAATAGCAACATGAAATCGAGACCACACACTGAAAACTAAAGTTTCATGCATTTATGCATAGAGAAATTCTGCAAACTTTTTTTAATCTCAAATGTAATTCTACCTTGGCAAACATACACCAATGGCATTTAAAACTGTCCTTACCTTTCACTTATGTAATTCTCACTCAAAAGAAATGACTAAGAATTAAAGTGAAAAAATAATCACTGTGGCCAAATGTTTATATAGTAGGTTAACATTCACAAAAACAAACCAGAATCTTCAAGTAACTGCTAGATGTGGTAAATACGTTTTTAATACCAGTACTCAGGAGGCAGAGGCAGGCGGATCTCTTTGAGTTTGAGGCCAACCTGGTTTACACTGAGTTCCAGGTCAGCTGGGGCTACAGGGAAACCCTGTCTCAAAAATACCAAAAGGAAAAAAAAAAAAGGAAGGGAGGGGGGCTGGAGAGATGGCTCAGGAGTTAAGAGCACTGACTGCTCTTGCAGAGGACCTGGGTTCAAATTCCAGCACCCACAAGGTGGCTACAAGCCATCCTTAGCTCCAGTTCCAGGGGAATCCAAAGCCCTCTTCTAACCTCGTGGCATTGCACAACATGGGTGCACTCATATACATGCAGGCAATATACTCATACACATGAAATTAAAAAAAAAAAGTGCATGCATGGTATAACTGTACCCAAAAATTATGCACAAAAATATAAGGAAATAGGCAAAAAGTACAATTTTAATTTATAAGCAATGTCATGAAAGCTGGTGTTTCTCAACATATATTAAACCCTCTCATAAAAGCTTAAGACATTAATAAAGTTGTTATAACTATTCTTCTAGGCTCATAAACATAATAGCCTTGGAAAACTGGTTATTAATTACAAAAATGAGATAACATAGCATGTATTTTCTGGAAATTATTTTTCAGTATTAATGCAAACCTCCGTTAAAAAAAAAAAAGAAGAAGGCAAGGTTTCCTCTCCCTGTAGCCCCAGCTGGCCTGGAACTTGCTACGTAGACCAGGCTGGCCTTGATCCCACAGAGAACCGCCTGCCTCGCCTGTGTTCTGGGACTAAAGCGCCCTCAATTCCTCTTTTTTAATGACATAATACATCATACGAACACAGTATGGTATGTTCAACCATTTCATGTCATTAACAGATTACAGGAATTTGTTTTGCTTGAACAATGTGCACTAAGTATTATTACAGTTCTCCCTACACATCGATGCTTTTCCTCCTAGAGGACGGATTCTCAGAAGTAAATCTATGAGATTAAAAGGTTTATGGATTTAAGATAGTGAGATGCCTTTCCAATTTAAAACTACCAAAACCCCAAACAAAAAACCCCACAATAATAAAGCCCCCGCAAACAAACAAAAACCCCTAAACCCCAAGTGTTCCTGCTTCTCCACATCCACTCTAGCAATATATATAACTTAAAAAAAATTTTTTTTATTTACTATTTTTATTCTATGTGTATAAATGTATTGCCTGCATGTGTATACATGCACCCATGTTGTGCAGTGCCCAGGGAGGTCAGGTGTCGGATCCCCTGGAACTGGAGTTACAGATGGTTGTTAACTGCCATGTGTATGCTGGGAATCAAACCTGGGTCCTCTGCCAGTGCTCTTATCATCTGCTCCATTTCTCCAGCCCCACATACATAATTTTTAAAAAAATGCATGCCTGCTGGGTGTAGTGTGACTCATGCCTATAATTCCAACATTTCAGAAGCTGAGGCAGGAGGATCAAGCACTTAAGGTCAGTATGAATGAGACTCTGTCTCAAAAACATAACATCAAAACAATTCCCAAAAGCTTCCAGAAGAGGTTGTAAATTCCCTTCCCTATCCCTTGGGCATGGCAATATAAGTCACATAAATCTTAACCTGAAATCTCATCCTTTTATAATCTTAAATTTTATATTTATTTTATTTTTATTTATGTCTATGTGCCTGTGTACATGCATACTGCCTGTCTGCAGGTGGCCATGGAGGTCTGAAGAGGACATCATCTCTTGGAACTGGAGTTTTGGGCAGCTGTCAGTTGCCTGATGTGTGTGCAGGAAGCTGAACTCAGGTCTTCTGCAAGAGCAACTCTTTAACTGTGTAACCATCTTTCCAGCCCCCATTTTATAATCTTAGTAGCAATTCAAGGCCATGTCTACTATATTAGGCCTTCTTCAAAAGGTCCAACTTCTGTGCTGGTACTATAAAGGCAGGCAAGAGACTAAGCACATACTAGGGGTATCAACACTGACTGCCAAGAAGCTTGCAATAACACATCCTTTATATCCTTTAAACCTCTACTCTGGAGGCTGGGCGGATAGCTTAGTATGTAAAGTGCAAGCATGAGGATCTGACCAGTACCCTCAGCACCCACATAAAAACTGGTGTGAAGGCATGCATCTCTGACCCTGGAGTGTATAGAAGCAGATGAGGGCAGAGACAGGTGGGTTCCCAGAACTCACTGGCTAGCCATTCTAGCCAATTGGTGATTTCTGGGTTCAGTAAGAGACCTGTCCCAAAAAATAATGTGGAGATAATAGAGGATGTGTGATGTTGACCTTTGACCTACACACATACACTCTACTTCTACTCTGATATATAATATAAACATTTAAAAAAACACCACTCACCTGCTGCAAACCTTGTGTCCCAGATACAGGTACTTGCATGATGGTTTGGCCTTGTCCACCTGGGACGGCCTGGACCATGATAGGTTGACCAGTTGATGTAATAAGCTGGCCTCCACTCACTTGCACCATTAATGGCTGCCCCTGGACCTAGAATGAAATAGAGCAAGAACAATGAAGTAACATTGAGACATAAAGAGGCTTCTACCAAGACAGTTGCTGGAACTATTTCTGTTTGGCTAGAGGAGGAAAAGGTAAGAGACACACTAAGAAAGCAAGACTTGAGTTCTTGAGTTATGGTCTTCAATAGCTCTGATATTGCTACCAAGTGTCAAGCTGAGTACTCCTAAGGTCAGATATAGTGAAACCTAATAGAGTCTGGGAAATCTCAATAGACATTAGGTATTTATTACCAAATATGGGCTAAATCCAGGACAAATGTCTGATCAAGTTAGTAAGACTAGTTGCCTTTGAAAATCCATACTCTAGGAATGGTGATGGAGGAGGTTGTGTGCAAACTCTCAAGAACCTGGAGAAGTTAAAGGATACGTAGCCCTAACTCCAGACACTGCACAGTAAGAGTTGTGGAAGCTCATGCAGAGGACCCTTTCTCCCGCCTCTCAAGCAAAAATGGAAAGGCCAACACTTTACTATCTTCACCTTGCTCTGAGGATTCCAGGAATGGCTGCTGCTTCAAGAGCCCACCACTAAAAGATTTGGAGCTAGGTACCAGTAATCTCAGCACTCAGGAAGCCGAGGCAGAGAATCATCAGTCGGAGGGCAAAATGGGCTTAAAAGTGAGTACCAGGCCAGTCTGGGCTACATGTTGAGACCCTCTCTCAAAACCAAACCAAACTAAACCAAACCAAACCAAGCTCAAAATAATGAAACAAAGATAGAAATTATTTCCTAGTCAGTTTATAATCTTCATGGGAGAAGCTCTTCATACCACATCTTAAAATATCTACACAGTTATTTTAACTGTCAGAGTAATGAACTACTGCAATCTGACAGAGCTGTCAAGCATACAAACAGAACTTCCAACTTTCAAGCTCATCTGCGTCAACAGGCTACTCCAGAAAGTAGGTCACTGCAAGTGTGCAGAATCTCAATGTAAAAAACACGAGTAGAATGCTTTTTAGAGGCCAAAAAAGCCACTTTGGAAGTGAGCAAGAATGATTCTCAGAACAGCTCTAGGTCTGAAATGCTTAAATTCTGTCTTTGCTCTGAGGATTTAGAACAAGAGAATATTTCAACTATTCATTCTTAATGCCAGTAAAAAGTATGCTCAAAGAGATTAATTTGTCCTAGATAAGAAAGTAGGCTCTCTTACCATCCCCACCAGTCTATCAGAATCACAATCATTGGGAGCATCTCCACCCTTCCAATCCTTGGGCTGTTCCTTGAGAAAGCCTTGAATTTTAAGACTTTTTGGCCTGACTTTGACTTTTCACATTTTCCCTCTTACTTCTTCATTCAAATTCTTTTGCTACATCAATGCTTGTGTGTGTTGTGCTGGGAAAGATTTTATCAGAAGACTTACTGCAGGAAAGCCTGAAAGAACTATTAAAAATTCTCCAGAAATGAAGAGATGCCAAGAAGTTTCCATTACTCCCATAATGTGTTTTCATTACTTTTAAATACAAGCCTGATATAACTGACATGAGCTGTTGTTATTATTTTTAATGTGTGTGTTGTATGCATGTGTGGGTTCCTCCGTGTATACAGAAGTGGAAGCCAGAAGTTGTCAGGTGTTTTCCACTGTTCTCTACTATATTTTTTGACTTAGGGTCTCCTGAGGCTCCTCAGGTTCCACTGGTCTCTGCCCCCCACCCCCTCCTTCCTGGGGTTACAGGGAAAAGCCCAGATTTTTTACATAGGTTCTAGGGATCCAAACTCAGGTTTTCATGCTAGCATAGGAAGCACTTGACCCATTTGGCCATCTCCCCAGGCCCCCAAATTGATATAAGTTTTAAGATATATTATTCATTTTCTGGTTATCCATCTTAGTCCACCCTCCCCCACTGGCATGCTGTACATGCACACAACAAAGGACTGGAGACTCCAAAAAAGATACTGCGTCTGTAACACAAGAATGACCACAAGGACTCATGCATTAGACAAGAAGCACACAGTTAGGAGCAAGCCACATCCCCGTTTCACAGTGGTTAATGATAACCCGAGATGTGGTCTCATGAAGTAACGAGATGAGGCAAGCACAAACAACAACAAAGCTGCGGAACTCTCTGAGGTTCCAATACAGTTCAAGAGTATCTACGATGTGAACATCCATCTTAATTTTGGTTCAGAGCTGGCTGGATGTCATCACCAAACCACTACTAGTGGCAAAGTACGTGAGTTGAGAGGGTGAAGTCAAATGATTACAATAAGGGATGTTATCTGCAAGATGCTTAGCAGCCCCAGTAATAAAGTAAGATGCCAGTTTTACATTCAAAGCCCTTTTCTGAATCGTGTCCAATTCAGTGGAGTTTGAAAAGGGAATCTCACCAAGTCCTAAGAAACTTGGTTACCTTAATGCTCACAGAGACTAATGCTTGGTAGTGGCTCTTACTTTTTACAGGAACTGGCCAAATTATTATCCCAAATTTGGATACTTAACCTGCTCTAGGTAATATTAAAGAACTGTGCTGGTTAATAACTAAGAGCTCGTTTTCAGGATCCAACCCCCCCTTTGGCACATTCATGCAACCACATCTTATAGTGGCTCTAATACCTTTTATTTAATTATTTATTTATTGGCAGAATCTCACTATGTAACCCTGGCTGGCCTCTACACTCAAGAGACACCTGTGCCTCCTGAGTGCTGGGCCAAGGCATGCACCACCATGTACATGCCCAGTTGTTGTTTTTGAGAGTCCAGGCTGGCCTCAAACTCTCAATCCTCCTGTCTCCAAGGGTGGGATCAAAGGTGTGTACCACCATGCTCTACTCCTACTTAACACTTAAATCTCGAAAGCATTTCCCATCCCTGCCCAAGGGTATAGGGGATCATCTTTGCAGCACTAATGTCATGATTTCTCAAGGAAAGGTAATGAAAAAGCCTTACTAACAAGATTTGATCTTTAGGTAAATTCTGCTAAGTGCAAAGATTATTCTGCAGTCAAACTGCACGTTTGAGAAGAACAAAGCACAGTCTAGCCTATTCTCTGTTACATTTCTTTCACTGGAAGACAAATCTAGACAATTTCATCATGCAATCAGAAGTGTCTGAGCACTGGGTAACCTCTAAGGCCACTCAGAAGTTCTTCTTGCCACTTGTTTCCTGGCATTTTCAAAGAAACAGCCAAATTGTTTTTAGAAAATTGACCCCACAGTCACTATGTGAATTGGCATATGTTTATCAGGAAACTGGCACTACACAAGCCTCAGACAGGTTAGCAGCACCAAAGGCATGCAACTTTGCTATTCAACTTGAGAGCCAAGCACAGATGGCACTGGACAGAAGTTCATGCAGCGCTCAGAGTCAGAGAGGGCACCACTACCTGGAGGGTCTGGACTTGCTGGCCTGAGGCGGATGCCACTTGGGCCTCAGTCTGCAACTGGACAGCTGTGACACCACCCTGCTGCTGAGAACAGGAACACGAAGAGCTTGAAATGTATCAAGATGGTAATGTATACTTCAAGACATGAGACTATTCACAGCCTCACCCTACACCTGAGTTTTAAAAGGTGCCTACTTCCTATACTCAGGCTGTCTTGTCCCAAGATCAAAACCCTGGCCCTGTCCCCAGAGTGACCCTCGAAACACCCTCTAAGACTTAAAAAGGTCAAAATATTACTATCAGTAACACAAAAATTTATAATGCAATCCTTTCCAGAAAAAGGACCTTTACCTTTTGGCTATTTATTTATGCTAATACTCTCTTTATTTCCTTAAATAAGTTCACAAGAACAAAATTACCAGGCTTTAAAGCCTTGAAATTATAACAAAGAGTTTCTGGGGTTTTAATGCAATTACTAAGAAAGAAGGAAGTAATCCCTGAGCACTGAATTCTAGCTTCATGAAATGACTGCATTTATGTCCCCTACTGGTCTGCCTTAGAAGCACACACACAATGACTCAACCTTACTTCACACTCCCCAGACATCCTCATAGAGGAGAAATCCACCAGCTAGGGCTCTAGCTGTCTGTAGAGTCCCTCTGTGGAATCCCAGTTGGAGGAAGCTGCCAGAGCTACAGCCAGCAATTCTGTGGATGGGAAGGCCAGCAAGACTGTCTGTGGTTATTCTCTTCAATCAAGCTGATCAGACTGGCTTCACTCTCAGTGCTTCCCTACCCTCTCTACTATTGCCCAGCACTAGCTCAGCTCTATTTTGAAGAGAAACCGTTCTAAGGACAACAGTCTTGGCCTAAAGTCAAATGGAAACAAATGTTCTTTTTTAAAGCTCTAGGAATGAGGGGAAAAGGAAGTTTTACAAAAACACACTTGCAAAAGCACAAGAAAATGTGTATTAATTCAAACATACATTGTTGTTTGTGAAGAATTCCTCCTCAATGTATGCTCACCTATAAGAATGGCAATCCAAGCATCATCCTAATTGCTCTGAAGAATACTGTGCTAGATCACATCAAGGAACAGTAGATTGCATGGAAGCTATTGACTATGGTGGTCAAATCCTTAGTTAATCACAAGTAAACTCAAGGGGAGCGATCAAACTGAATCCAGAAAAGCAGACTTTTGTGATTGTCAATGAGATAAAATTTTCTTTTTTTTAAAGCAAGCATTCATGAAGAGCAGATGCCACAGACGTGGCCACAGATGAAGTCCTCTGAACCAGGGTTTCACAAAATCTGATGCCTCAACGGGTCATTTCCAGAGTAACACACCAACCACCAGAGAAGGGCCATTGCTGGCCCTAGTGCTCCCATACCTGCTGCTGAATCTGTCCAGCCTGCACCACAATCTGCTCTGTGGAACTATTACTGTTTGCCGTGTACTGCTCCATGGCCCAGCCACGTTAGTCCTGATGGAGTGAATTTCACTCTGGAGATCCCAGGCAGCTGCCAGGAAAGTACGCCTGTTAGAACAAGTAGGAGAGAAGCCAAAGTGAGTCTATCTCTAAGGGCTATGCCAGACACTTAGGAAAATTTATTTTTCACTGTAATTAACAGTTGTAAAAAAACAAGTTAATAGAAGGTGTCTATATATTCAGTCTTATTTTTAGTAATTATTCAGCACAATCATAATAAATCTCAGGGTCAGGCACGGTAGTGCACACCTGTAATCCCGGCACCAGGGAGGCTGAGGCAGGACTACATGAGACCAGCCTGAGCTATATTAGCCCTACTTCAAAAATAAGCTCATCGACCTAATAAACACTCTTTAAACTCTTACTTCTCTCTTTTAAAACTGCTTTGGTTACTACTTACTGGCAACTTACCTTGTATGCTAGTTATTTCTGTGACAGTGACAGTGCAACTGAAAAACCTAACAGGAGAGGAATTATTTTGGCTTACAGTTTCAGTGATTTTAGTTCATCATGGTGGGGAGACGTGGATTTCCCATCATGGTGTCCAGGAAGCAGAGAAAAAGGAATACAGTAAAGAGGCCAGAGCAAGACAGAGTCCCCAGGGACACTATCTTCCAACCAGGTCCCACCTACCATTCAGCACTTCCCAGAGACATCAAATGAATCCAACAAGGGATTTATGCATGTAGCAGTCAGAGCCCTTGGATCTAATCTTCTCTGGAAACACTCTTACAGACATACCGACAGGCCTGTGTCACTATCTTTCTAGGTGTTTCTCACTTTAGTTAAGGACTCCCACCTCTGAGACACTTTGTTGTAAGGGCACGTGTGTTTAGAGAATAATGTTTCCTTAATTTGTATCACACTTGCTACCCAAACCCGTTAGTCACCTACAAAGGCTAAGCAGCTTGAAACTTGGGGTTTGTTACTTAGTAAGTAGTTCGCCCTAGACTCAAATGAAGTATTTTGCTTATGGCAGTCTCTACATATTGATGGGGTCTCATGCTTACAATCCTAGCACTTGGGAGGCTGACCTAGGATGATGACTGAGTTTGAGGCCAGCCTGGGTTACAAAGTAAGTTCCAGGACAACCTGGGCCAGAGTGAGACTTTGGCTTAAATAAAGAAACAAACACACAATCCTACAAATAGGTAGACGTATGTCAACTTAAAAAATCAAAAAAACCAAACCTCCACTACATAGCACTAAGTGGGCGAGCTCTAGAAAAGGCTGGGGCATTGCAACACAGAATAAGGAACACAAACACTGTGACTGCTACAGCACAGCCCCCTAACCCATCAGTGTTCCGAGACCCACAGCGGATGCCTAAAACCTCTCACAGCACCGAATCTCTCCACTTTTCCCTACCCACCCCGCAGCACAGCCTAAAATGCGAGCCCAACTAAACCTTTTCTCTAGAAGTTGACCATTTCAGGTGTTTTTCAGTAACAGAAAGATAGCAAATACAATGTTGCCCATTTAGGAAGTATACTGATAGCTAAAACTTCCTTTATTTTTGAGAGGGTCTCACTATGTAGCCTTGTACTCAAGAGATTCACCTACCTCTGTCTTCTGAGTACTGAGATTGAGTGTTTTGTGTGTGCACAGGCATGGAGACTGGGAGAGAGCACCAGTGCTCTTAACGTTTGTTCAGCCATCTCTCCAGCCCTCCAAATTTTAGTTTTAATTAGGATAGAAAGCATTTGGTTTCAGTACTGCATTTAAAAAATGTATTTTATTGCCCCCCCCCCACTAGCCTCTTGCCTGCTTTCACTACACCCTTCCTCGGGTCCCCTTTCTGGCTATATGTCTTCTACCCACATACACACATCTATAAACAATTGATCAAAGCTAGTACGGCATATGAGAGAACATGTGGTATCTGTCTTTGAGACTGGGCTACCTTGCTTACTATTTTCCAGATCTACCCATCTCCCTGCAAATTTTGTTGTTTTGTTTTTCTTTATGGCTGAACAAGATTCCACTGCGTACATTTTCATTATCTGTTGATGGGAGTCCTGGCTGGTGTCACTTCCCTGCTAATGTGAATAGAACAGCAATGAACATGGATGAGCAATTAACTGTATCTGAGGTAGGCTGGAAAACCTTGGCTACATGCCCAGAGGTGATATAACTGGGTCATGTTGTAGATTTATTTTTGATTTTTTGAGAAACCTGCACACTGATTTCCACAATGGCTGTATGAGTTTACACTCCCACAAGCAGAATGATTAAGGGTTCATCCTCCTCACATCCTCGCCAGCACTTGTTAGTCTGTTTTCTTGATGCTACCCATTCTGACGGGGGTAAGATGGAGTACTTTTAATTTGCATTGCCCTGATGGCTAAGGAAGCTGAACACTTTAGAAATCAGGTCTATTACCCATAACCAAAACAGATCAATGGGGGTGGGGTGGGGTGGAGAGATAACTCAATGGTTTTAAGAGCATGGGGTTCAATTCCCAGCACCCACATGGTGGCTAACAACCATTCACAACCCCAAGTTCCAGGGGATCCAGCACCCTCTTCTGACCTCCATGGGCATTGTGCACTTACACACATGCAGGCACTGTCTTCCTCCTCCTTTCCCAAGTAGTCCCTTCTTTCATGTCTGTTTTTAATCTAGTTTTCATACGACAGAATACATTTGCTATTTGTCTTCCTAAGCCTGGTTCCTTCCACTTACTATGATCTTCAGTTCCATCCATTTCCCTACAAATAACATAATTTTGTTCTTTATGTCTAATACTTGTTTCTATACATTTTCGTTATACATTTATCCATCAATGGACATGCAACCTGGCTATTGTGGATGGCACAGTGATGACCTTGGGTGTGCACATATCCTTAGTGTCTGCTGACTCTAGGCAGTTCTCGTCTCAGGTTTCTGAGGAGCCTCTGAACCAACTTACTATGCAGTTCAGTAGAGGCAGGATTCATTTACACTCCAACCCACTATGTGAGAGGCGCCCAGTCTACCAGCAGATGTCACAATGTAGTTTTGATTTGCCTTTTCTTGAGGGCCAAGTATGTTGAGCATTTTTCCTGTATCTACTGGCCATTTGTATTCTTTTGAAATTTATTTCATCTGCTCAATCAATTTACTCATTTATTGCTTAGATGATTTCTTTTGGCCTTTATTTTTTAATTCTTTTTATAGTATCAATCCCTCATCAGAGGAATAGCTAGCTGGCAGAGATTTTCTCCCATTCTGTAGGCTTAATAGTTACTTCTCATTGCAAACTGATCAACTAAGTTTTCAGGTCTTTACATCAGTTTTTTCTGAGTTGGTTCTTGAGAAACTCTGGGTACAATACTGAAAATCAGCCAAACTAAATGGCTCCACTAGGGAAGCCAATATGCTTCCAAATTCTATCTTGTCTCTAACACACAATCTGTTTCTAACCTAATAAATTAAGGGTATGGTTCCATTCACCTGAAACCCTGATAATGGCAGCCCAGAGTCAGAAAATCAGTCAGTAGTTCCTTGGGCCTGAAAAAGTGTCTGGGAGAGGCAGACTGGAATGGAGTTTTAGAACTTTCTGGGGTGATGAAAGTGTTTAACATCTTGAGGTGGGGTTTATATAGATGTATAGCTCTTTCAAAACTCACCAAAATATACACATAAAATGAATGTAACATTATGATAAAAAATAAGGGGCATGAACGTTCTCTGTATTTCAATACTTTCACTCACCCAAGTCCCCTGGCTATGAGACTTTTGGCTGAATTTCCATTAATCTGCTTCTGATGGGATTATAAAGTAAAACAGAACTTTAAAAATGCTCAGGAATGATTACTGTACGTCATCTAGACTTTCTTAACTGGTTTATCCTGCTCATGCAAATGCTCCAAACTCAGGCCATCTAAACTACTGTACTTTGAAGGATAAGGAGGCAGCTTCAAATCTAGCAGCCACTCTGGCACTAATGAGGAAGTGATTTAGCTTTGAGCATGACAATCAGCACAGTGACCAGCCAGCCAGTGCTAAGGCATGGTGAGTACTAAGGAACTGGCTCTAGCGACGCCACATGCTCCTGCTTGGGTGACCTTCAGCCAACAGAAGCACCAAACACTCACACTCTGGTACATGGTCCATCTTCATGTGCTTTTCTGCCTAAGACCATGACAAAATTAAGTCAGATGCATTTAGTCTAACTCTCACACAAAGACAAAGAGACTATGAATGAGAATGAATTTATTCTGGCCACCAGGAAAATACTTTCCAGAGCAAACACCCCCTTATGAAAGTGTTCTATTTGGATATTCACACTCCAAAACCAGACACTCTACTGCAATTAGCCTGAGAAACCCTCAGGCCACATCTGACAGTCACTACCAGGCAAACACTAGACAAGGACTATTTAACTTTCTGCTTCCCAATGTTTCTTTCAAACCACAGTAAGAAATGTTTTTTACAATTAAGTACACACCTAACACACAAAACATGGAACTGAAACAAAAACTGCAGGAAAGTCTTTATTCCTATATATTTTAATATTCCATTATAAAAATGACCAGCTTATCAAGCCTACTAAATTAGTGAATGACAACCAATAAAATGGATCCTATTATCCATTTGGTAAAATGACTAGAGAACAAAGGGCTGCCCAGCCTCCCCATCATCCTACAGAGGGTTCTGGATTGGAGGTTTCGAATTTGTTCCTTCTCTCCACTAATGATGTACCATGCGCTGTTTAAAGGCTTTAGAAATTAAATCTGTACTAGACTCCTAAGAGAGAGAAAAGTAAATTTGAGTTTGGAGGACAGAGCTTTTATAGCTGTGGATAAATCAAGAAAGCTTTAGGAGAAAGTGCCCTCTGATGGATTAAGGTGTGGAAGAACTTAGCTAGGTGATGATACAGGATGGGGTAGAGTACTACAAAGAGAGGCGGCCAACCAGATGGCTCAAGCCTTTAATCCCAGCACTCAGGAGGCAGAGGCAGGAAGATCTCTACAGGGGAGGAGAGGCACAAAGGGAGATAATTTAGCCCAAGAGCAGTAAACTACAAGGCCCTGTTCAGAGAAAGCTAGAGGCCACACTAATTTTTCACAAAATGCCAAGCAGAGGTAAGCAGGCCAGGGGAGGCTTTAGAGGTGCTGAGCCATTAAGGTAAGCCGTTGGTTAGCAAAAATATTTGGCAGTTTTGAAGTGACTAGATACACCCATTGTTAAAACACCACAGTTAAAACACCTTATGCAAAAGCAATGTAATTTTTAAAAAGATCAAAGTCGACATGTGGTTGTTCCATTTACTACTGGAACTGTCAGAAGGGTAATTTAGAAAACAATTGGGCACCATATCCTGAAGCTAAGGAAGGACAGTAACTGATACTTCACCTGATTTAATACTAACTTTTAGTATCCTAGGAGAAATCTCCTTTTCTTCCCGAAAGAATTCATTCACAATACTGCAGAATCCTTAGCTCACAATTTTTTTTTCAATATTAGGGGAAAACCATAGTTCTAGATCACTGTAACTGCCAGCCCAAATTGCTTCCAAAAATTCCTTAGCAAGGCCCCCCGCCCCAATATTTTTACTTACTGGACTTTCCCGCCTAAATCCGGTGTTATCGCCCATTTTCCCATGCCGTGCCTTTCTGCCTCTAACAGCACCATCTGGTGCCCCTGCACAGGCCTTCCTCTCTGGAGTCACTGACCTCCAAGGCCAATCAAAAGCTGGTGATGAAGAGGCTGCTGTTAGCGCTGCACCTGACCCCGCGATAGCACCGACCCTCAGGTATTTTCACCTATCAATCTTCCCCAAGCAGAGGGGTTTCTCCTCCACCCACTCCCTCTGCAGCACGTGGGTGTTACCAGCAGCAGACTATCTGCAAGTAGCCCAAGAACATTTCGTCTCACCCTAAAAAAAAAAACCCAACAAGCCTCTTAAGCTTTCAAGTAGGTTGAGAAAATGTACACACGGGATTTAGAAGTACACGAGAAAAAAAAAAAAAACGGAAGACGTGAGAACTGAGCTAATATTAGGATCATGCGTGATCCTTTCAAAGTGACACAAAAAAGGTGAAGGGGGGATCAAAGGAGGAAGAGCTCACAGAACAAGCCACAGATGGAGCAGCGAGCTGTGTGAGCCAGGGTAGGAAAGAATGCGCAAGGTCATCAATCTTGCAAAAGGAGTGAGGCACCGAGTGGCCGCGCGAAAAGAGAAGGCGCGACTGGTCGCGCTCCAGCACCGAGGTGTGCGGCCCGCGCCGGGTCGGCCGAGCGGGGCGGGGAGGAAAGGAAATGACGAGGCAGAAGGGGGTGGGAACCGCGCCCGCCCGGAGCTCCGGGGTGGCGGGCCGGGAGGAGGGGCGCGGCGGTCACACTAACGACCCTGGGTCGGCGGGGTGGGCTAGGTGGTGGCGGCGCGCGTTCCCCGCCAGGCCTCACGGAGGCCCGGAACGCGGGTGGGGGGCACAAGGACGGGAGCGGCCGGAACCAGCGGGACGAAACCGCCGGGACCCGCGGCGCTCCGACCCCTCAAACCTGCCCAACCCGGGCCTGGGGAGGTCGCGGACAACCGGCGCAAACTCCACCCGCATCCGGAGAGCCTGTTCCCCGGGGGCGCCATCCCCACGCCGGACAGGCCCCGCAGGCCTCGGGAGGCCGCGCCCCGAGGTGGCCGTAGGCTCCGGGCCCGGGACGCCGGCCACCCCACTCGGCTAGGTTCAGCTAGACTCCCCGGGCTCGACGGGCGCCTGGGCCTCTCCTGAGTGGTCAGGGAGACCCGCCAATCGGGGCGCTGGGGCCGGCTCTGGGCCGCTGGATATTGGCTCCTCTTACTCACCGTGCCTCGCTCCCCCGGTTCGCTGCCCGCGCTGATTGGCTCCAGTACCGGACCCCGAAACCCAATCAGAGGCTCCAGCCGCCGCTGCCGCCGCCACTGCCGCTGCCTCGCAAAATGGCGAACGCGAACAAAGGGGAATCCGGCCTCCCTCCAACCGCCTTCGCGCAAGCGCCTTCGAGGCCACGCCCTATAGCCTCGGCCGGGCTTGCCCCGCCCCCGGGGGGGAAATACAGCGCAGGCGCCTCTGAGGCCACACCTGCTTCCTTGATTTGACACCGCCTCCTGCCCAGGGACTACGCAGGCGCTTTTCGGACACGCCAGGCACTTCACCGCAAACACCTCCCTGAGCGACATAGCACGCAGGCGCCAACACGCCCTTTTTTTTCCTTTTTTTTTATCAACTGTCCACCCACTTCTAAGCGTCCCCTGGGACACACCCCTGGGACTAATGCGCAAGCGCTCTTCGTCTCTAGTCTAGGTCCGCAGCTCGTTACGCATGCCTGAGCCGCGGCGGGAGCCTACGGAGTTTGCCGCCGGAAGTTCTGAAGCCATCACCATAGAAAACGGGGCTTGGCTGGCTAGCTAGAAGGGCTCACTTCCGCCCCGCTCCGGGGTTGGGGGCGGCCATCTTGAGTGCGTGCTCTCCGAGGCCGTGGCGGGATTGGTTCCTCTTCTGGGCTCGTCGGCTACTCTCCACCCACCGGGTCGGACCCCGAGCCTTTCCCTTCGGGGCGGGGCCTTCCTAACAGCTAACTCCTTTCCAGATGAAGGATGACCCCAGTACGCAGACCCCCCCCAACCCCCATGGGATCCCAGGATTGACCCTCCTTAGGGTAGGAGAGAGCATGGCAAGCTTTTAGACTCTCCTCCCTGCACCCCCAGGAGAGGAGCTGAGTCTTCCCTCTCGGGTGTCTGCAGCTCAGCACGCGCCTGCACCTGACGCACTGTGAGGCTGATTATCTTGTACGCCTGACCCACTGGGAAAATCCTGGAGAGAAAAGGAGACTATCTTAAAACAGCTGTGCTACGAGCGGGCTCGGAGAAGCGAGGAGGTGTGTCTATGACAGTCTTTACTTCCGCTCCTGGAAAGCGCCAAGTGACTGGGTCATGGCTAATCTGGCTACAGAGACATCTGTCCTCATCCCTGGTCCACAGTGGCTTTGTGTTGCTTTATAGAGTCTGAATGAACTCACATTAGAGATATACGTTGGGGTGGTGGGGGGGGCCCTAAGTGGGTGGTCAGGGCAATCTGAACATAATTATGTTTTGGCCGTCTGAGCATGTTTGCTTGCTTTTCCCTTTCATTAGCAGAAGAAACTCTAAAATTCTGGAAATAGCGACTCCGTATCATGGCCAGCAACCTTAATGAAGATCCAGAAGGAAGCAGAGTGGGTAACAACTATTAACTTATTGGTGAACTGAACTTCAGAATAATTGAGGTCAAAAACATAAACACTTTTTAATTAATCCAATAATTGGATTGTCTTTATTTTGTTTCCCTCTAGCTGATTTACTTAAGAAAACTTAGTACAATTCTAGGCAGGGACCATCCATCACTTTCCTTTTACAGATACTTTAATACTTAACTCCTTAAGCTGGAAAAGTTTGGCTTTCATTCAGATTGGTTGAGAAGTGGGGAAGGGGCCGTGTGTGTAGACACAATTGAAGATCTGAGAAGAATGATATTTTTCTGTTTTTAACAAAACCACCTCTTTCCCTTTGCACATTTTAGATCACTTATGTGAAAGGAGACCTTTTCGCATGCCCGAAAACAGACTCTCTAGCCCACTGTATCAGTGAGGACTGCCGCATGGGCGCTGGGATAGCTGTTCTTTTTAAGAAGAAATTTGGAGGAATGCAGGATCTCATAAATCAACGTGAGTTTTGAAAACATCTTAACCTCTCTTACCCTGGTTAAAGCAAGCCTTTTGGCCTTCTGTTAGACTTTATTCATGTGCATGCAAAGATATTGAGTGCTTTGCTTTTTTTTTTTTTAATGATCTTTTTGAGACAGGGTCTCCCTGTAGCCCCAGCTGGCCTGGATTTGCTATGGAGACCAGGCTGGCCTGGAACTCACAGAGATCCACCTGCCTGCCTGTGCCTCCCAAGTGCTGGGATTAAAGGTGTGTGCCACCGGGCCCAGCCGAGATTGAGTGCTTTTAACTCTCAAGAGTTTTTGTCCTCACCAGAATGGCGCATCTGGTTTGGACCCTTACCATACCAAATCAGAGTTCTTGTAAAAGTTTCTAATTTCCTCCCACTCTATCATAACATTTCTTCCTGTGTATGCAAATGTGTATGAGTTTGCAGGAATCCAGCTGGCTAGCAAGCCCTGAAGAATCTTCCAGTCACTCCTTCCCAAGCACTGGGATTTACAGGCATGCAGCAGAGCACCTAGCTTTTATGTGGGTGCTGGGGATCAAACTCAAGTCCTCATGCTTGTGCACAAAGCACTTTATGGACTGATCCATCTCTCCAGCCCCTTGTAAAACTTCTTTTATAATAATTCTCCATTTAATCTGGAATCTGTGATTAACTGAAGGACATACCAAAGTCCACATGTTGCTAGGCAGTTGTGATCTTGTACTATTGCTCTGTTTGTTCTTTTTTTGAAGCAGTCTCATTCTGTAGCCCAGCCTGGTTTTGAACTCCAAGCAGTCCTCCTACCTCAGCCTCTCCAAGTTACTGACATTACAGGTATGAGCCCTTATGCTAGACTTTTCCAACGTACTATGTTTTTAAATTTTTTACGTGAATGAACGTTTTTGCCTGCATGTATGTAAGTGCACTTGTAGCGTGTAATGCCCACAGAAGCCAGAAGAGGGCAACTGATCCCCTGGAACTGGAGTGGCTGTTAGCTGTCATGTGGGTGTTAGGAATCAAACCCAGGTCCTCTGCAAGAGCAACCAGTGCTCTTAACCACTGAGCCATCTCTCCAGCCCCTCAACTTACTCTTCACAATTGTTTGGAGATCTCTTCCTAACACCACTTACAGTCACATCTGGATCTTCTGAGATTTCTCAGAATTTCAGGCTTACTGTTTCCCACATCTCCAGAACAGCAGCATGTACAGATTTCTAAGAGCATGTAGCAGTCATTCTGACTCCAGTCTTCAATAAAAGCTACTTCTTACTACCTTGTATCATAGTTATTTGTGATGATGACACCATGTCTGAATGGAAAACAATAAGAACTTTTAAAAATGTTTCTAATAATGTTTAATGCAACATTGTGTAAAAGGGTCATTGTTGGGGCTGGGCAGTTAGCTCAGCCTTGTAAAGTGCTTGCCACACAAACATGAGATTGCGAATTCAATCCTCAGAACCCACGTTTAAAAGAAAAAAAAAGCCAAGGGCAAACATGCTTCCTCCCAGTCCTGGGAGGCAGAGATAGGAGGACCCCACAGTCCTGCTAGCCAGCCAGTTCACCTGATTTGGGGAGATCTAGTTTCACCCTGTTTCAAAAAAAAAAAAAAAAAAAAGGTGGAAAGCAGTTGAGAAAGTCACCCATGCACACATGCATCATTGTTGAATAAACATGTTTGACAAATTTAGTAAGTGGAACATTCTAGAACAATTTCAGGACAATAGATGTTGAAGTTTACATTGGGTAAGTAAGGGTACTTTTGAAATTGGGATAGAACAAAAGATAGAGCTTGAAGAAATGTGGTTTTAAGTGAAGGAAGTTAGTACTTGAGAGGGAGCAGAATTTACCAGTTTCTTAGGTGGGCCTTTTGGAACATGCCTCTAATCCAGGCGCTTTAATCGGAGGCAAAAGCAAGTGGGTCTCTGTGAGTTCAAGGTTAGCCTGGTCTACATAGTGAATTCTGGCCAGCCGGGGCTTCAAAGCAAGACCTCAACTCAAAAATAAAATGGAGAGATGGCTCAGCAGTTAAGAACACTGACTATTCTTGCAGAGGACGGGGGTTTGATTCCCAGCACCCACGTCGCGGCTACAAACCGTCCTTAACCCTAGTTCCAGGGGAATCTGAAGCCCTCTTCAGATCTCTGTGGCATTGCATGACACAGGTGCACCCTCATACATGCAGGCAATACACATACACATAAAATAAAAGAAAATAAATAAATAAATAAAATGATAAATTATGGCTGGGTGTGAAAAAAAAAGTTTCTTCCCAGGTGAAAATTATTTCTAGTTCTGAGGTACACTCAGTTTTATAAAGAGTGGATTTTTAATCTTAAAATCTACTAAACTAAAAATCTGGGGATTTTTCATCTTAAAAGTGGAAATTGTTGGGAGGCAGAGGTAGGCGGATCTCTGAGTTTGAGTCCAGCCTGGTGTACTTAGCGAGTTCCAGGTCAGCTGGGGCTACAGGGAGACCCTGTCTCAAAAAGACCAAAAAAAAGTGGAAATTGATGTTTTGGTTTTCTGTATCGTTTTTATTAATAAATAACTCTTTTTCTTAGAAAAGAAGTCTGGAGAAGTGGCTGTTCTGAAGAGAGATGGGCGATACATATATTACTTGGTAAGATGGGGGCAAAGCTTTGTGCATTCTAAGGATTACATTTCTAAGCACTGCTTTTGGCATTGATCACAACCCTCCATTCTAGACAAGGATACCAAACAGCTCCAGGGCTGCTGGCTACTTGAAGCGCTGGGTTAGAAAGGAATAATACCAGGCTGCGTTCCAGCTCCACGGGCAAGACTCCTGTGCTTTCCACCATAGACTTGAGGACTGAGAGATGGAAAGGTTAGGGAACCCTCTCTTTTCTTTCCTAGTCAGAGGTTGCAGGGAAGAAATCTCAATAGAGGTTTTCCAGCTGCGGTTTTCTCTTACTGCCTTTCAAATGCAGAGCCAGGCAATAGCCCCTCACCTCCTGCCTGTTGTCTGAATGTGGGGTTCTCTGCCTGTCCACATGGGCTTTGGTCCCTGAAGAGATGTAATGTCATTTGAGATTAGGGGGGCTGGGGGGGTTGACTTAGAGCCAAACCATTGCAAGTCTTTTCTAGACAGCAAACTGAGGAGACCTGAAGGTTGATTGGATTTTCAGTGTTTGCCCTTAGAAAAACTAAGAGTTTTTTTTTTTTTTTTTTCTGTCTTTTGTAGAAAGTGTCTTTCTACCGCCCCAGCCATCCTGGAAACTGAGGAGACCTGAAGGTTGATTGGATTTTTAGGGATTGCCCTTAGAAAAACTAATTTTTTTTTTTTTTTTTTTTTCTGTCTTTTGTAGAGAAACAATCAAACATAGTTTCTAAATAAGCAGAGACTTTCAGTGGGGAATTCTCAGGTGGTTTGGGCACTGTCACAGCTGTGCCATTCATCTCTGGGAAGTAGCACCTAACATGTTAAAGTCAGTGACAATAGGCACAGCTTTCCCATGTCTTGGTTTTCCTTGGAGAAGAGAATGTTGCAACATGGCAGAGTCTGGGTTTCTCAGTCCATCCAGTGGGTGTTCCTGGGCCTGCCTGTCACTGTGGAAAGGGCAGTGGGGCATGGTCACTCCTGTTCTAGATAAATTAATCTAAAAATGCACTTACTTGAATTTGCAGGCTGCAGAAGAATCTGATAGCTCTTTGATTGCCTCTTTCTTTTGGCTAATGAGAGTTTGAATCCTCTCTGTTGTGTGCAGATTACAAAGAAACGAGCTTCACACAAGCCCACGTATGAAAACTTACAGAAGAGTTTAGAGGCCATGAAGTCCCATTGTTTGAAAAACGGAGTCACTGACCTCTCCATGCCCAGGCAAGGCGCTCTAAAGGCCCTAACTGAAGATTGAGTTGATTGGTGAGGTTTAATCTCTAACCCAAAGACAAACAACTTCAAAGCCGAACCGAGAATGTAAAAGCAGACAAATTCCTTTACTTGAAAACCACTAGTCAAGTAACTGTGGGATCTTAGGTCACACATAGCACAGCCTTTTTCTAGCTTTTCTTGCACGAGTCAGGGGAAGTTACTTGAAACACCCTGCCTCAGCTTCTCAGTGTGGAAGGGCCCTTGTCATTCAGTGACATTCGCTGAATTCTTGTCCTTTTGTTTGAAGTTTGGCTTCCACTCCTGAAGCCATGGAAACTAAACACCCCAGATTGAGCAGGTATGATTTTTCTCTTGGGCCTCTTCTGATCTCCCAAAACTGAATTCTGTGCCAAGAAAGTTGTAAATGATCTTTGCCTTTTACATTGCATGCCTGCTTATGGTTACAGTGGGTAGCAATCAGAGTATCTGTCCCCGATTTAGCACCAGTGAGGACTTAAGGAAATGACATTGAGTGTTCAGTAGACCCTTTGCTTCCTTTTCAGAAATGGTCCTTACCCCCACTGTTTCTGTCACCCTGGTGATTTTCCATGAGTGCTGACCAACCCTAAGTGGCTTGGATAGGACTATAACATCCCTCCTTTTTTTTTTTCTTTTTCTTTTTCTTTTTTGGTCTTTTGAGACAGGGTCTCCCTGAAGTCACAACTGGCCTGGAACTCGCTCTGTAGACCAGGCTGGCTCTAACTCAGAGATCTACCTGCCTCTGCCTCCCGAACACTGGGATTAAAGGCATGCACCACTATGCCCAGCCCAGCATCCCTTCTTTAATAGGCTTATGGCTTAAGCACCAGAAACTTTTTTTTAAATCATAGTTGTTCTTCAAGAACTTACCATGTTATGATGTGAAATTGGTAATTTTTTTACTGCTTCCCTTTCATCTCTGAAAGGAATGTTGAGAATCAATAAAGTAACTTTGAAAGAAAGATGCCAGGTGGTAGAGTTGCAAAGACATCACTCCTGAACCACAGGAGCATTTGCCACTAGTCCATCTTCACTTCATTTTGCAGAGGTCTTCTCCTTTTCATCCTCCCTTAATATTCCATTATCATAAGTGTATTTAAAAATACCCACATTTGGGCTGGAGAGATGGCTCAGTAGTTAAGAACTCTGGCTGCTCTTACAGAGGACCCAGGTTTGATTCCCAGCACCCACATGGTGGCTAGCAACCATCTGTAACTCCAGGGGAATTCAATGCCCACTTCTGACTTCTGCGGGCATTGCATGACACAGGTGCACTTGTATACATGCAGGCAATGCACTCATATACATAGAATAAAAATAGTAAATAAAATGTATTTTAAAATGCCCTCATTTTCCCATCCGCACCAGCCGGTTTCATCGATAGAGGGATAGTGGGTGGTGAGTCTCCTGTCTTGGTTGAGTCACATTCCTAATACAGTATGAGGTAACTGGAAATGGCACCTTAATGACAACTGTTGGATGTTAGGACTGCCTAAGTAAGAACTGACTTGGATGACTTCACCAGAATCGGCATCTAGACTTCCTATTGCCTGCCTGTAGGTGTGAGACCAGCTAGCTTTAAGCTTTGAGTGAATAGAGCCCAAAGGAAGAGGGAAGGAGCAATTTCCTACATGGTCTCCACCACAAACAATGGTGGTGTTTTGTTTTTTAACTCTTGGTCTTAGCCTGAAGTTGGTAAATGATGATTTTTGTTTTGTTTTTAGGATTGGTTGTGGTCTCGATCGATTGCAGTGGGAAAACGTATCTGCGATGATTGAAGAGGTGTTTGAGGCAACAGACATCAAAATCACCGTGTACACACTCTGAACAGATGAAGAGTTTACATGGGCCCATGATCTGTGTCATCCCTTCTTGGCCATAGGACTGAGCAAGCTGACCTTAAAATGGGCAGAGGAAGATCTTGGTTTGAGTCTGCATCATGGGCTGGATGAGGCTTTCTGGATTCCACTATTTGGAGGATACTGCTTGGGATACATTGCTGTGCTTTTTGCAGGAGGGTGAGGGTTCAAGGCCTGACACTAGGCCAGGAAACTAGCTGGTGATGCCCATGTATCCTGTTTTGCTCTAGTTTACTACCTGGGTTGTTTGGGTGGACACTAGATGGCAGCATTGATCCTAATTCTGCTTTTTGGAGAAATTTCAGGAAAGGGTAAACTTTTGAGATATTTTGGCATCTTTTTGTCATTTGTATACTTAGTGGTGTTCTAATGGTCCTCCAAATCATCATAAGAAACATGGGTTGGTTTGTTTTAATTACAAATTTGGGTCTATGCTGTCGCTAGGACTGTGGTGATGAGTGGAACAATAAATTTCTTGGGGTTCACTGGGGTTCTCTATGTCTGTGTTTTGGATAAACCTGTGACTTAAATTTGGAGAGTCAGGGTTCACTAGGAAGACTAACAAAGTAGGAAATGAGAATGGACTAGAACCATGGGGCCACGTGGCTGGAAGGCAGGACCAGAATCTTCATGGGGAATACTTCCTGTCTTCTGACCATTGCATAGTGTATGACTGGACACATCTGAATTTAATCCCGAAGTCAAATAAGCTAGCTGTCTGGGTCGTGCATAACAGAGAAACAAGGCAACTCAGATGTCAGGGAATCCTCCTAAAAGCATCGAGGCCATTTCCTTAAGACAAAGTTGCGGGTTCCAGGATTGTGTTTCTAACCTCCCTAGAAGATTCTGACATGCAGCCAACTGGGCTGTCAGCAGCACCTCAGTAAATATTAGCCTCCTGCTCCTCTGAAGCTACGAGAAAAGTCTGTTACTTTCATGGTGGGAGGATGAAGTCTGTGGGTTTAGCTTGTGTTCTGTTATTTGGCCTGCTGTGGAAACTAGTTCTCCCCTTCCGCATGGTGCTGAAAATTCAGTGAGACTTGCTGTTGATTTTGGGTGGGGGAGGTTGTTGAAGTAGGGTCTCCCTGTGTAGGTCTCACTATGTAGACAAGCCTGGCCTTGATCTCACAGCCTCTGCCTCCTCAGTGCTAAGATCAAAGGCATGTGCCACCACGCCCAGCTAGGGTGAATTCTGGTCTGTCCTAAGACTGGTTGCTTTTCCTAGTTAACTACATTTTAGAGCGGGCTGTGGAAACACTGGGAGAGCACTGGTTCCGTATGATCTTTGTACTTTAGACTTGGGTTCTTATCACCTTTACAGCCTGATAGGCAGCAGCTTCAAAAAGTGTTTCACTTTGTGTCCCTACAGCAGAGCAGCTCTTTGCAGTGCTGTGGGGCCAGTGCAGGGATAAGTGTGGTAGCAACCTTAGACCAAGGCTTTTCTTGAACCTTTGCCCATGTCTATATACAGAAAAACCACAGTGAGAGAATGTCTAAATAAAATTGGAGAGCAGAGTGATGAATACAAAATTACTTTGTTTCATTCTGCCATAGGTCTTTAATTTCTGCTCTACAGTGGATTGAATCTCTCTGTGGTCTTACATGTTACACTGTTCTTCCACTGAGCTACACTTCAAACCCCTCTGCAAAAATCTTAACACTCAGCTAAAACATTGGCTTTCTAGGCTTCCTTTGCTTTTAAAGGGATTGGGGGGGGGTGTTGGGTTTTTTTCTTTTTTTTTCTTTTTATTTTTTTGTCTCTGTTGAGCTCCCTGTAGCCCTAGCTGGCCTGAAACTCACTGTGTAGACCAGACTGGCCTTGAATTCACAGAGATCCACCTGCTTCTGCCTCATGAGTGCTGGGATTTAAGGCATGTACCAATTTTTGTTGTGGGGCCTGATTGGCTGTTGAATTCTGGCCTCCCAGGGCCAGGGGATGATAAAGTACTTAGGGGTCAAATTGTGATCACTTACTGGACCCAAAGCCTGGTCTGATAATCAGAAAAAACATATTCTTCTTGGAAACCCAGTAAAGAGTTTGGCCAACATCCAGAAAGTCCTATGTGGAATGTCACTTCTGCAGAGGACTCAGACAGTCCTCTGGAGAAAAGACACTACTATCCTGTTATCAAGTGCCCTGCGCTGAACTCTCACAGTGTCTCAACATTGAACTGCTTTCACCCTGTCTCCAGTTGTTTATTACTTGGTCATTGCGATGTGGCTATTTCATAAAATTCCACAGACCTCGTCTTCTCCCACCATATTGTCCTCAGAGAAGAGGAAAAACTGATTAATCCCTGAAGAAAATGTTGCCTTATTTATTTTTCAGTGCTGGGGATGGAACCCAAGGCCTTGCATATGCTAGGCAAGTGCTGTACTGCTAAACTTTATTCCCTACTCCATATATATATATATATATAAACCTTCGTGTGCACACGCTCGAGCAGGCATGTGGAGGCAGAGGACAGCCTTAAATGTCAGTCCTGGCCTCCCACCTTGTTGGAAGCTGGCTCTCTTTGCCACTGTGTATGCGAGGCTGCCTAGCTCATGATCTTCTAGGGATTCTCATGCTGAGATTACAGATGGATACTACTGAATCTGGCATTGCACAGGTGCTGGGGATCCGGACTCAGGTCCTCATGCTTGCAGCATGCCATTTGCACACTGAGCCACCTCCCCCAGCCCCTGGGAGGAAACATTTTAAGGTCAAGACCATGGCGGGAAATTCGCCTGGGAGAGCTAGTTCTTAGTTGTCTAGTCAAGACCTGGCTTAATCTTACCTTCTATGGGAAGATGCCATGGCTTGGGTCTTAGCCTAGGACATCCCTGTGCCCTATATTCACTTTTTGTCCGTGGTAACTTTCCAACATCCAACTTCCTTAAAAGAACAGGCCACAGATAAATCACACCATTTCTTTTATTAATGTTGCTATTTTTCTTTCTTAAAAAAACAGCCCAACTCAAAAATGCTTTTCTGAACATATTTCAAGGTCTGTACCTTGAATCTGAGGCTCTTTGTCTTAAGCAACCCCACTGGGGAGGTAGTAAAACCTCCTCACCCCCAGATTCCAATATACAGTCGCGTTTCTCTTTGATTCTTCGTTTCCTTCTCTACAAGCCATGTTAGAAAGGCACATGAATGACAGCATGAGAGGTGTGTTTCGAGATCTCTGAGGGCCTTGTCCTATATGACAGGTTGGTGTCAAATGTTGTCCAGCTCCAAGTAGCATTAGGAAGACAGGCATGTCCTGGGTGCCGTGTGTGTGTGCTTCTCTGGTTGCAGCAGACAGACCTTCATGATAAAACAAAACATGTTACTGAGAGCCCTGCTGACCCCCAGCAGTCAACCTTCTGAGCTAAGATGTCTTTGTATCTTCCCTACAAAGATGGTAGAAATCTCGGGCCTCCTGTGGTTCCTGGCTGAGCCTCCATTGGAATGGCTTGTTTCATTGTTTGGTTCACACACACAGCAGCCCCAGAAGAGATCTGCTTTACTCTGTTCTCTTGAGTTAAAAATATGGGAAAATATTCTGTTATTTTTTTTTTAAAGCCAAATTGAAGAAACAGCTAGCTAGGCAAATTTTATTTAACAAATGCTCATTTCTTAGTGTGCTTTAAGTAAGGCTGTTCTTTGGGGGCATTTAGATTCTATTTTAATACCTTTACAATTATTTTTTAACCTGTTAAATTTAGCTTTTCCCTTCAAGAGCCTGAAAGACTCATAGATATGGACAGGGGAGCATGCAGTGGGCTCAAGAATACTAATTGTGGGGCTGGTTAAGGGTACTGGCTGCTCTTGGAGAGAACTCAGGTTCATTTTCCAGCACCCACGTGGCAGCCAATAACCAGCTGTAACTCCAGTTCTAGGGGATCCGATGCCCTCTTCTGGCTTTCGTGGGCATTGCATGAATGTTCACTTACATGCAGGCAAAACAATCATAAAAGGAAAATTTTTTAAAAATTTAAAAAGAGTACCAAAAGAACCTGTACTCTAAAGGAATAATATTATCTTAAAAATTATATTTATTTATGTGTGGGGGCAGGGTGTGCATTCCACAGTGCACAGTGCACATCAGATGACAACATGTGTCCTAAGGATCAAACCGAGGAGGTCAGGATTGACAGCAAGCACTTTGCTTGCTGAGTCATTTAGGTGGCCCATAATATTCTATTTAAAAATAACCTGATTTAGGACTGTACTTTTCTCTCAAACTTTTATTTACTTAGATTAGTATCAGCTACAACTCTCAGTGACCCAAAATCAAAAGTCTTTTTAATCCTCTTTGAAATGCTTAATTTTAATGAAAAAACAAAAAACAAAACGAAAGAGTCCCTGGAGACTTGCTAGTTTAGGAGCTGGAAGAAGTGTCCCCCCTTCCCTTCCTTCCTTCCTTCCTTCCTTCCTTCCTTCCTTCCTTCCTTCCTTCCTTCCTTCTTCCCTTCTTTCTTTCTGTATTTATTTATTTTTATCTATCTATCTATCTATCTATCTATCTATCTATCTATCTATCTATCATCTATCTATCTATCTATCTATTTATATCTTCTTGAGACAGTCTCACTATGTAGCCCTGGCTAGCCTGAAACTCACTATGTAGCTCAGACTGGCTTTGAACTCACAGATCTGCCTGCCTGGGCCTCCCAAGTGCTAGAATGAAAGACATGCCTCACACATCCAGGCCAAGGTTTTGGAAGATGGGTATTTTTTGAGACAGTCTTGCTTTGTAGCCCAGGCTAGTAATGCATTCTCCATCCTCCTGCCTCCACCTCTTGTGTGCTTAGACTCACAGATGTGTACCACCATGCCCAGATGATGATGATGATGATGATGATGACGATGACAATTATCAGTGGTGCTAGGAATTCAATCAGGTGCTATACTCTATAATAAAGAAATACCCAACCCTAATATTGGGTTTTTATAAGCATTCTACCACCAAACTACATTCCAAACCCTAATACTTGTTTTTCGTTTTGTTTGTGAGACAGGAGTCTCAATATGTAGCACAGGCTAGCCTGAGACTTGCAGTGACCCAGACTGGCTTCTAACTCACGATCCTTCTGAATGCTGGGATTACAGGCACGCACCACCATATCACCCTCCACATGAAGATTTAAGGAGGGAGTACAGTGGGGTTAAAATTAAGTTAGCAGACTGGGAGTGGCTCAGGCCTTTAATCCCAGCTCTCAAGGGCAGAGGCAGGCAGATCTCTGAATTCAAGATCAGCCTATATAGCGAGTTCCAGGCCATCTGGGGCTACAGGGATACCCTGTCTCAAAAAGAACAAACAAACAAAAAATTAAGTTAGTAGTAATCATTCTGTTGAGTCTGAGGCTGGGGATGCAATTATAATAATGATGGTACCCAAACAAAATCTTTTAGGAATTTTGGAAGTAAATTCTGTATTTTCAGAAATCTCCCTTGAAATCTACCTTTACTGCTGCTCACAGCCCATGGTTGTATCTTTTTTAAAAAATAACTATTTGTGCACGCCTTTAATCCCAGTATCCGAGAGGCAGAGGCAGGTGGATCTCTGAGTTCAAGGCCAGCCTGGTCTACATAGTGAGTTCCAGGACAGCTGGGGCTACAGGGTGACCCTGCCTCATCTCAAAAAGACCAATAAATAAATAAATAAATAAAAAACCAACAACAACAACAAAAAACCTATTTGTGTTGTGTATATATACGAGTGTTTTGCCTACATGTATCTAAGTGCGACATATGCACCCAATACCCATGGAGGCTAGAAGAGGGCATCAGATCCCCTGGAACTGGAGTTACGTGGACAGTTATTAGCCACCATGTGGGTGCTTGGAACTGAACCTGGGCCCTCTGCAATAGCAGCCAGTGCTCTTGACAACTGAGCCATCTCTCTAGACCCCAGTGTCGTATCTTATTTCAGGAGACAGACCTACCTCATGATTAAATGTAAAGACTGGGTCCTTTTTTTTTTGCTAAAAAGAATTGACTAAAAATTGTGTCCTTATGGATGGGAGAATGCTCAGCCTGTGAATGTCTGGGCACCCCCATGTGCATGCCTAATAGAAAACACCTGCCCTCACCAAGCTCCGGAACATTGAGATTTCCCGAACGTGTCTGTGAAGCAACATCTTCTCTTAAGGGTATCAGGAATGAGAAACACCAAAAGTAAATTGAATGATCTTCATGGACACATGCTGTGTTCATGTTTTATTAATATGGGAGTCATTCCAGAATTAAACTGGAGAGGAGGGGGGCAAACAGCCTTCTCTATCACTGGGAGGTTTTGAACAGTCACTCTGGCCTTGGAAAGGAGTTCAGTTCGATCACAGCAGTTCTGGGGGAGCAAACTAGATCAGACCAAATTCAAAAAAAGATAGTGAAGAATGTTTTACGCTTGTTCCTGAGGATAATTGGCCTGTTTCTGTGAGAGTCTAATTTACCCTCAGCAAGAGGCCAAATTGGCCTTAATTGTGTCCTAATTATTTGCCTAAATAGCTAATCTTTATTTCCAGGTCTCCCATCACCTTTTGACATCTGTAGGAGGCTACTTCTAAGCTGCTGTTTCAGTTATAAACATCTTTTTAACACTTTAGACATTCTGGTATGAACTAGCTTGTTATTATATCACCCCAATTCTTGCATTTGGTTTTCCCTGAGTTCCACTGACCTCAATAAGAAAAAAAATGTCCTCGAGTTATACATTCACACAGCAATTACTGAGCTCCTTCTAAGCCCAACCGTTTGTTTGAAAACTCGAAAGCCAATCTGGCTAAAAGCAAAAGATAATAGAATTCCCTTGGGAATTTCAGAAGGACAGAAAAAGAAAAAGAAAATTGTTCCTGAGGCTAAAAACTGTGCACTAGACAACAATGAAGGTAAGAGTGTGATGAGTTTGCAAGCAGGGATTCTAGAAAGCGTCCCACAGTAGGTCTGACATCTGGAGGCAGAGGTGTGCCTTTGGGGGATTAAATATCCTGCTTGTTATGATTCCTTGAACCATCTGAATCTCACTAAAGATTCTGTCTCAAAGCCTGAGGAGTCCTGTAACTGCTGGGTGTACCCAGTTATGGGTAAATTAGTTTGAAATAGAAGAGAAGGGAAATGGATTTTGAATTTTATCATATATTATTTTTTGATGTGTGTCTGAGTGCATCCCTATGTGAATATTTGCACAAGCAAGCTGGTGCCTGTGGGGGTCAGAAGAGAGCATTGGATCCTCTGGAGCTAGGGTTACATATCGGTCAGCTACTCAGTGTGGGTGCTGGGAACTGAACTCAGGTCCTCTGGCAAGAGCAGCAAGTGTTCTTAACCAAGTGCTCCCCAGTCCCTATGCCCAGCTGGGTGCTGGGGATGGAACTCAGACCAAAAAATAGATTTTGTTTTGGAATGCTCCCTCAACCAACCAATAACAGGAATACAACCCTTTCAAAGTCAAACATCCCCTTCCTTCCCGACTTCAAGCCCTCTACCCAGGTGAACAGTCAATACAGAGGGTGCCATGGCACCCAAAACACTTACACGAGGCCGAGCTCTGCTGCCTACTTCAGGATGTCCGCCAACTTCTCCTCATAGTACAAGAAGTTTTCCTGAATGTCCTCCCAGGGCTCAAAGGCCTTGGATTCACCCTCCTCTTGCTCCACAAAATTCTGCCAGATGTACTCGAAGTCCTGGGGCTTCATGATGCGCAGTTTGCAGCCGGCTTCCTTTAGCTTCTTCAAAGCAGCCTGGACCTCGGGCTCCTCCCACATGAACAGTCGGCCCACCAGGATGAGAAGGCGCAGATTCTTGCTCTTGCCAAGGGTTTTGATAATGCGGTCAGCACAAGCTGCACAGGGGCTGGAGGACACGTACCAGGTGACATTGTACCGGAGGGCGGGGTCGAAGGTCGGCAAGATGGTGTTGAAGAAAGCCTCCTCTGCGTGGGACCCCGCATGCTCATCCTCCAGGTAGCCCCTGGATGCCTGCACCTGGCCTCCCTTGCTCTGTGCTTCAACTACATAGCAGAGGAAGGTCTTGTTTCGCCCAGAACTGTACTCCACGTTCCGGAACTGAAACTTAAAGAAGTTGACTGGAAGCCGCTCCCTGCAGGTCAAGGAGACAAAGGGACAGAGAAGAAGAGAGAAAGATGATGAGTTCTTGTTGCTAGGACCAGCCTAGAGTAGATGGATCGCCAAGACTCCTTAACGCTTACCAAAAATGGGCCTTGCCTGTGCTAACATGTGTCATTAAAAAAAAAGGTGTGAGAGAATCCAATCCAAGAGTTTCACTGGGGGGGCACAGAGAATCTGGATTCGAGTTTGCATTCTGGTCACCCCACTTGGAAGGATCTTTATTCTGTTTTTACCTCCCTCCCTTCCTTCACTCCTTCCATCCCCCCCTCCCTTCCTTCCTTCCTTCCTTCCCTCTCCCTCCCCTCTTCCTTTCCTTCCCTCATTTCTTTCTTTTCTTTCTCTTAGCAGGGTTTAGTTATCCCAGGTTGGCCTAGATCATCTTGCTTCAGCCTCCCTGATTCTGGGGGCAGATGTGCACCACTACCCCCATCACACCTCACACCACAGTGATCTTTAGAGTCATGGAAAGAATTCCAAACAGGTCAACATGTGGAGCCCACATCAAACCAAGTCAATTAGAAGGGAGAGGGGTCTCAGGCATCCATATTTTATTTTTAAATTGTCTAGATGAGTCTACTACATTGGCCAGCTTTGAGCAGCTGTGCTCAAATAGCAATTTTATAAAGTAGCTAGGATGTGAAATTTCTCTTGATGGAGCAAGACAGATTTTACAGAACATTTCATGCTTTCGTTTCTCCTTGTAGCTCACACAGATTGCATTTTGGTCATGGCATGGCCTATGTCTTATTGTACCCTGCTCTCCTGTTGGCTGTTTCTCAAGCTAAAGGGCTATCACATGATCAGGGTCTGAGGATTATCTTTGAGGGACAAGACTCCCCAAGGGTACCTTGGGGTGATTAAGATTTTGTATCATATTGGATCATTTCAGAATATTGGAAGACTTGGCCTTTGCTTTCCAGGGGCCTAAAATTGCATAGCTGGGATCTGGTTAGACTGAGAAGATGTAACTGAATCAGTCAAGAATGTTAGAAGATTATTACAGCAATGACTAGGAAAGGACACAGAGCATGATGGTTAATTTCTGTTGCCATCTTGGCTGGATTTAGTCTCACCTAAGAAACACATTTCTTGGCATATCTATGAGGAAGTTTTCAGGGAGATTTTTTTTTTTTTTTAATTTATATTTTATATGTGTGCAATGTCCATGGAGACCAGAAGAGGGCATTGAATCCCCTGAAACTGGAGTTACAGACAGTTGTCAGCTATAGTGTGGGTGCTGGGAACTGAACCATGGTCTTCTGCAGGAGCAGCCAGTGCTCTTAAATGCTGAGCCTTAACAGAGAAAGAAAGATCCATCCCGAATTTCGGTGATACCATCCCATGGACTAGGCTCCAAGACTATATAAAAAGGGGCAAAAGAGAAAATGGGCTGAGCACCAGACTCTTCCTACTTCCTGACTGTGGATGCGTTGTACCCATGCCTTACTGTCCTGCCACCATGCCTTCCCCACCATGATGGACTGTGTCCCCTCAAACTGGAAGCCCAAATAAAGTCTCCTTAGGTTGATTCTTATCAGGTATTTGATCACAGCAATGAGAAAAGTAAGTCACATATGGAGGTTCTTGAAAGTTGGGCCTTGATTAAAGAGGCAGTACAAAGTGATTGTAACTCATGAATTATAGAAAAACATACTATGAATGACATTCATGAAAGATCAAAGGGGTGGCAAAGGGTGATACAGTAGAGGGGTTCACTGAGATTTCAAGAGCCTACTAGGCGTCTGAGGACAGCGAACTTGATGGTGAACAAAGTAGGTGTTTTTCAAAGAACAGTGCAAGAATAATAAAAAGGAGGAGAGATGGGGAACTAGAGAGGGCATTGGGGTAAAGATTTTTAAAAATTAGATTTACTTATTTTTTTGTGGGTAGGGGGACTGCATGCCGCAGCATGTATGTGGAGGTCTGAGGACAACTCGTGGCAGGTATGCTCTTCCTACCATGTAGGTCTTGGGGCGCAAACTCAGGTAGTCAGACTTGATGACAAGGGCCTCTACCCTCTGAGCGATCTCACCAGTCCCTGAAGATTGTTTTTATTTTTCTTGTTTATGAGTGTTTTCCTAAAATATAGATGACTTATACAGGTTTAAAGGCCAATGAAAATGAGATTGGTCAGCATCAGGAGAGGAAAGGAAAAGTTCTAGCCAGAGAGCTTAAAGGTTTTCCTATTTATTTATTTTCCAGGTTGTTGGGTTTTTTTTGGTCTTCTTGAAACAAGGACTCCCATAGCCCCAGTTGGCCTGGAACTCACTATGTAGACCAGGCTGGCCTTGAATTTATAGAGTACCACCTGCCTCTGCCTCCTGAGTGCTGGAATTAAAGGCATGCACCACCATGCCTGGGGCTGTTTGCTTTTAATTCAGTTCATGTTTTCCTTTTTAAAACTAATCTTAGGGGTTGGGGACATGACTCTGCGGTAAAGTGCTCACCTAGCATGCATGAGGACTTAAGAGTCAACCCCAGCACTGTAAAATAAATGTGTAATCTTCGCTCCTACCTCCAGAAGATACCTACCCCGTGGCACCACAAATTCACATCTCCCTCCTCCACCTCTTCTCTTTCCTCAGAAAGGTCAGCAGACTCCCTGGGCTGCAGGGGAATCCCTGGTGTCCCAGGCTTTGGCTGCTTAAGGAGAAGCAGCAGATGCCTGAACGCTGAGGAAGCCAGAAAGATTTCCCCACAGGATTCCCTCCCCTTTGCCTCCTCACAAATGATCTCCACCCATGTTTCCATGTCTCCTGATGTCAAGTTAAGCTTCCACTGTGGAGATGGATGGTCTGAGGACCCAGCCCCAGGATTTCTTCAGGCGGTATATTTAGCTCTCTAAGCCCTCTGTCCCTGCTTAGAAGTGCTTATTATTTACTTAACATTTTAGCAGAAAGAATCACCTGGTGCTTTTCCCTTTCAAACCCTGGTGAAAACACACTTCCATCAGCCTAGTTCCCCTCACCCCACCAGACCACTCCCCAACTCTGTCTCTTTCTCAGGGTCCCTTTACTCCCTGGAGGAAATTTCCACTCTCAAGAGACAGTTTACATTTTTTGTTCAAGCTCTTTTGGTTCCTTAAGGCTTTCTGAAAGACTCCTCGCTTCCCATCCCCTAGGCCAACCCAGAGTCACTTAGATCCTGGGTTCTTTAGTGGTTGGAAGTTTTTTAAAAAATATTTATTATTTTTTTTATGTGTTACGAGTGTACTGCCTGCATGTATATAAATGCACCTGTGTTATGCAATGCCCATGGAGGTCAGAAGAGAGATCCCCTAGAACTGGAGTTATGGATGGTTGTTAGCCGCCATGTGGCTGCTGGGAATTGAACCCGGGACCGCCAAACAGCAGCCAGTGCTCTTAACCACTGAGCCATCTCTCCAGCACTGGTTGGCAGTTTTTATGGCTACTTGGTAGGCTTGGGGACTTTTAGCGGTAGACTGTGTGGCCCTTCAGGTTTCTTTCTGGAAATTGCTCCCCCTCTCCCCGCATCGCTTCAACTTTATTGAGTGTAATTTAGCCAAAAGCAAGACTTTGATTTAGCAAGCATAGCAAGTTGGCTGGATGGTTGCAAAAAACCTGCTTCTAGAAGTCCCTCCCTCAGAAGCTCTGACATTTGCCCCTCCTCTTTTTCCCTAGGCATGAGGAAAGAACCTAGAAACCTGAAACCACAGGAGAGAAAGAAAGGTCACATCTCTATAAATATCCATTTCTGACCCTTCTGGCCAGTAGCCCTGGAGCCTGCCCTGGCCTCACAGGGACTCTGAACTAGCCGCTTTCACTAAGCAAAAGGGAGGCTTGCCTCCCATGCTGTCCCTTCATGATCCGCCGGTGATTGAGCTTGCTTGGGCTCCTTGGTTTTCTAGAAGAAGCCTAAAGGCCAAATGAGGTTCTCTGAGCCTCCCGTGGACTACTACAGCCAGAATCTAGAGGGAAACCATGAAAACAGAGCTAGTAGAGGTCTGAAATTTCCACAGGGAGCCGGACAACATGGCCAGCCTTGGGCGATTGCGAGGGATCACAGGGTATGTCAACGCTCCAGTCAGAGCCCAGTAGTGGAAGGAAAGATACAGACACCTACCTTCTTAACTGCAAACACTTTCCCCAATAACATGATATGGCTAAGTGTCATATTTAATCTTTTACTCTCAACCTCAGTAGATACATCACTGCCAAAGAAAAGGTGGCTAGTCTGTGTGTGTCTTTATACGTGCATACATGTGTGTTGGAATGGTGAACTGGAAAGAGATGCTGGCAATAGGTCCCCTTTCCCCTGCATCTAGTCATTCCTTCAGATATAAACCCAAGAGTGTGATTCCTGTTCCCTCTGCCCAGCCTCAGGCACTAATAACGCTTTGAGCAGGAGTAGAAACTCCTCTTGTTTTCCAAAAATACGGTCATTCACATGGGGCATTACAAGGAACGAAGAGAGAACCAAAATCCTAGCAAACATTAGGAAGACAGTTTGCTTGATGATAGAGAGGTAATGTCAGTGCAAGTATGTATTTTTTGGGGGTTTGTGCTTAAAAATTTTCATTTCCTAAGTACAAATTTATAGTGAAAGGGAGAAACATGGAGGTCAACAAAAGCTGGTCTAAGACGAAACATTTGCTCCAAAATAACCCACAGAGTGGAAAATCAGCTCACAAGTGATTGAATACTGACTTCTTTCAGCTTCTCCTCTACTAGAACTGCCAGTGACCTGTTTGCAAGAGGTAGAATCATTTGATTCATTAACTGACTTTCCTAAGACCCAAGAGTGGGCCCAGTCAAGGAGAGGGGTATGGAGCAGAGCAGAAGGTTCTAGAGCCAATGAGGGAACTCCAGATTTGCAGGACTAGAGGAGGTTCTGCCCAAGGCAATCAGAGAATCAGCCAGCTGCTTCTCTGTGGGAGGCACTCTTCCCCCACAGCTTTGACCCCCACCCACAAGCCCTCCTGGGAGGCCAGGTGGCAGTTGATGGGCCATCTTCTGTTTCTAACAGCACACTTCCCAGCAAGCTCCAGAGGCCAGGGTTTGTGGCATTTGATGGAGTGGGGAGATGAGATGGTTTAGTGGGTAAAGTGCTTGCTGTACAAGCGTGAGGACCTGAGACTGAATCCTCAGAATCCATGTAAGAACCCAGATGTGGAAGTATACTTTTCAGTAATCCCAGTCCTACAGGGAGACGAGAGACCGAGACAGGAGGCTCTTTAGAAGCCTGTGGGCCAGTTAGCCTGGTATACACAGTAGAAGGTCAGTGCCTCAAACAGGGTGGAACGTGAGGACCAACACTCAAGGGAGTTGTCCTCTGAACTCCACATTTATGTGTATACACACACACACACACACACACACACACACACAGCGGTGTTGAAGACTATTCCTCCTTTCCTCCCTTCCCTAGACTCTGCCTCTCCTCTCCATGCCTTTCATGTGGCCAGAATAACTTCCGGTTGCTAAAGAAGTGGTTAAGAGAAGACTATTCTCCTGCCATTTATCTTTAGTCCGCCATAATCCCTTTGCTAGCAGGTCTTGCTTTCTACAGAAACACATATGATTCCATACCCGGGAGGATGGTGCTAGGCAGAGCCAGGGTCACTCATGACTGGGATGGAGCGGTGGGACCCAGCTGTCCCCAGAGCTCCTCTGTGCTTGCTGCAGTCAGAGGCAAGGGCATGCTAGAATTCTCTTCATGGCCAGCACTGCCAGTCTCTATCCTGACATCTGGATAAGAGGCCCTTCCTCCAGCACTTCGTGTCACAATGGCTGCAGACAGCCTAACGCACAAGACATGATCACTCATTAGTTCATTCATTTAGCCTACAAATATTTGCTGAGTACTAACTAGGAGCTAGAGATAAAGTAGTTTCAGGTCAGCTGGGGCTACAGGGAGACCCTGTCTCAAAAAATAAAAGTCCTCTTTAAGATTTACCTGGAGCAGAGATGTGATTTGGAGTCAAAATCCTGGGGTTCATGTCCTCTGACTCTGATTCTTGGGCAAAGTCTCTGTCCTTCTGAGATTTAGTTTCTGTAGCCAAATAACCGAGTAATTCAACCTTTCAGAATTTGAATGATGCATAGACGTTCAATAAATTAAAGCTAGCATTGACGGATGATGCCATCTCTAAGCCTTAAGTCATATCTTTCTAGAATTCTGTCCTAAGCTTTACCAAACTGTGGAGAAACCTCTAAAAGTGACAAGCGTATGTAAAGCTCTCTGAGAGAAAGAAAAAAATTCAAATCCTAACATTTGATTTTTTTAAAAAAAATTTGTGTGTGTGTGGTATGGGTATGTGCGAGAAAGAGGTGTGATATGGTGTGTGTGTGTGTGTGTATGTGTGTGTGTGTGTGTGTGTGTGTGTGTGTGTATGCATGGCAAATGTGTGGAAACCAGAGGACAATTTTGTGGAGTCAGTTCTTACCTTTTACCTTTATGTGGGTTCCAGGAATCGAACTCAGATCTCCAGGCTTATGTGGCAAGTTCCTTTACCTGCTGAGCCAGCTCTCCAGCCCCAACATTTGCTGATTTTGGGGGCAGGGCTATCTGAACTTGACAGTAATTTCTTGCATAATGGAGATTTCAGGTAGTGGTGGTAATTACTGATTACGGGACAGGGAAGAGACGCACAGAGTCTGCTCTGCAGACAGGAGGCACTGACTTCGTACACCCTGCAGTTTCAGACCCTTTTCTAGCGCTTTCCACCATCTTGCTTTGTTTCTCCTGCTTGGGTCTGCTTTCCATCCTGGTACCCACCCCAACAGAATCACCACAGAGCATCTCTCTTCTTATTCCTCTCAATTCAGACTGTCTCCTGAAAAACTCCTGGCTTTTCTGCTAGTTTTAGCCCCAATATAAGGAGCTCTTTGAATCTATCCCCTGTAGGAGTCTAGACTAGAAAAGAACTGCTTTGCTGACCCCTTGGAAAAAGAAGGAAAGGAAAAGAAAAGAAAGCCAGTCTTCTCCTCCTCCCTGGCCCTGCAGAAACAGCCACACCTCTGGGCTATTTTAAGCATCTGTTTACCCAGAGGGGCCCAGGTGACAGATCACTACAGCTGTTCCTTGTGGCCAAGAAACACTCAGAGCTCCACCTCCCTCTATGGGCTCTCTGAGAGCTCTCGGGAAACTGTCCCTGCTGTGCCTCTTTCTCTGAGCCTTGGGTCATGGAAAACCTCCTGCTCTCATCACCACAGGAGAAAAGCGGGCAGAATACTTAGCTAGGAGTCTGAAGACCTGCCACTTCCTCGTTCTGTGGTCTTGGGCATATTTATTGTTCAGTCTGTTTCCTTCCTTTCTGTCAAATGTCAATAAATATCTCCCTCTCCTACCATTGTGGTATGGGGTGAAAAAGCACGTTCTCTCAAATATGTGTCATGCTGTGAAGACCTGGACAAATGTCAGTTACTTCAAAGAACCTAACCCTTCAGGACCCAGTGCCCTGGGACCCCAAAGCGTGTTCAACTCAACAAATGATCTAATTCTGTTCTTGACCTACCCTGCCCCTGTACCTGGGAGATCAAAGGCTTCATGGAGCGGAAGGTATGTGTGTAACTGGGGACAGCAGGGCCCAGCATGCTCTGGTGTTAGTAAAAGGATTTCCTGCCATACATAGGCAGCCACTGGAATTGAGGACCCCGCTGGCCTGGTTGCCCTAGGCTTTCCCTGTGTCTATATTAGTATGTGCCCAGCTGTTCTCTTAATCCTAGGATGAGAGCCAGATTAGCTGGGTGAGCATGAGTGAATGGAAGTTCAAGGGCTGTTCGATCATGCCCCAGGAACTACACCACATTTTCCCTTAGGCTCTCTTAGAAGTCAGAAAATTTCTTTCTGAGCAGAAAGGGACCTTGACAACCACCTCTGGTAACTTCCACATGTTAGAAATGAGAAAATGGAGGTCAGGCCTGGAGAATCACATGCCAAGCATAAAACAGAAAGTCCAAATTGCTATCCAGGACTGCTCCTCCCACAGAACACCTATGCCTCTGTTTTCTGGAAACTTCTCTCAGTATGGCAGCCACTCAGCTTTTGCACATTGCTGGAAAGTGCCAGGAAGGAAACCGCGGGTTCAAGAAGGAAATGTGCCTGGTCCCTTCATAGTCTTTGCCTTGGACTTAGCAGGTTCTTCCTCCACAGGAAGAGACAGAGACAAGCCAGAAGATTGCTTGGGCTCCTTGCTGGAGATGGCACAGTCTGAACAAGACCTGGAACTTGATTCTCTCTTGGGACCTGTAGACCCTTTGATCTGGGCCCAGCTCCTCCAGGCTGTGCCCAGTGTGCGGGAAGTCTCTTCTGTGTATAAGCCCCTAGTCTCTGCTACCTGTACAGGTTCTGAGGAAGAGAATCTGCTTTTCCTCAACCTTCAGGAGAGATGGATGTCTTAGGATCCTTCAGAGAAAAGCTCTAAAGAAACAAGTAATGACAGAGGCACTGGGGAGACCGCTACTCAGAAGTAGAGCAGGGAGAGAACCGGTGGTGAGGGGGTTGTACTAGGGGCCATCTTTAACTGTCCCATTCTGACTAAACTTTACCCACAGGTGCAGGTGACTCCCAATACCAGGAGACAAGTCTAAATGACCACCCAAGGCTCTTTTCTTCCCCTGCTGGAGAGCATCCATGCAACCACCCTTCCTGAAACTTCTCTCAACAGGTTGCCCATTCTGCCTTTGCATGGATGAGAAAGACCTCATAGAAAACCCAGGATGGGGAGAGTTCATTTTCCGTGTCTTTGCCTCCAAAAAGCTCGTCCCACCTCTCTGGAGAGTCCAAAGTCCCTCAACAAGCCAAGAGGGATTTACTTGCTGTTGTGTTCCCTGAAGACTCCTCCAGGGCACACAGGTGCCACAGAGCCTGTGACTGACCCCGGCCCCTACCTTCACCATCTTAATCTTCCACGGCCTGCCCAGACCCCGCACTCTCCCAGGCAGGAGGCCCAGACCCACCCTAGAGTCTCACCCGGTGACAATCTCAAAGGGAGGCAGGTCGATAAGCTCCTTCAGCTTCTCGGGGTCCTCCAGGTTCTCCAGATCTTCTCCATTCTGGGAAGCTGGCGCTGCGGCCTCAGCAGCCTCTTCCTTCTGGGCCATGGAGGAGCTGTGGCTCAGCAGTCACTGAGAGAGAGCGTGGAGAGGCTGCGACTCCAGCCAGGGCCTGGCAGCAGAGTCCCAAGCAGCTGTCAGCAGCTAAGGCTGGCTGGGGATGACAGAAAGAGGACCCGCAGGCCAGGCTTCGTGCTAGTGAACCCTAGGCTGCAGGTTTTATAATCAGGGAACTGCCCCTCCCCCAGGCGCTCTCTCTCTGTCTCTTTTTAATTGAGTGACTGGCGGGTGCCAGGGAGGGGGAATGGAAACTCTGGCTAGGAGTATCCCCTATTTATCAGCAGGCAAAGACAGGAAACTGGCAGGTGGGGAGGGCTGGGGCTCTCCTTTCTCTCCTCGCTCACCCTGTGTTCTCCCCTGGCTCCTCCCCAGACCCAACTTTCTCAGCTCTACTGGGGGCATTGTGGAAGGGCCCGGTAGGATGGTTACCCTAAACTTTAGGGACGATGCCTTCTCAGAGTTTTAAACAGGAGGAGGCCTGCGATGAAGGAGGAAGTTGCAGGGATCCCGGTCATTCGTGTTGGGGAAACTTAAGTTCAGAAAAGGAGGGTTTTGGGGGGTATGGGATAAAATTCAGTCATTTGAGAGGAGGGTGTGTGTTGCCACTCAGAGGGCCTGAATGCTGACATGCTGGCTGTGAACCCAGGCTGTAAAAGTAACTGGCCACTATTCTTTTTTTTTTAAACCACCAAGATTTATTTATTTGTGTGTGTATATACGAGTGTATCTTCATCTGTGTGTGTGGGTGCATGCACCTGTGCACATGTGGAGGCCCAAAGGAAGAGAGTGTCAGGTATCCTGCTCCATCACTCTCCACTGATTCCTTCGAGGCAGAGTGTCACCCTCAACCTAGGGCTCCTGTTTTCTCTGCTACTCTGGAAACCAGCAAGCCCTGTGATTCTCTTTTCTCCGTATCACTGGGAGCTGAGGTTACAGGAGGGCAGGGACCCTCAGCTTGTTATGTGGGTGCTAGGTATTTGCATACTTTGGTCCTCATGATTAAGGGGCAAGCACTCTCATTGCTAAACCACTGAGCCATCTCTCCAGCCCCTGACCACTACTTTTAATAGCACTAAGAGTTCACTGAGTTTCAGGGTTTTGAATTGGGCCTGGCAGTGAGTTTAGTGGTTTACAGGTGAAAGTGGACTTAGCACTCGCCATAGCCCTGGGAGGCATTGCTTAAGATGGCCACATTATACATGGGCGCACTGAGACTCACAAGGGTTAGAGTCCTTGCCTGAGGTCACATCAACCTTAAGTACCATTGGTAGGATTAAAACCCAGACCATTTTACTGCAGAGGGCAAGCATACAGTGCCCCCACCCCACCCTGCCCAGTCAGTCTTGTGCTCCTCTGACAAATGTCTGTTGAGCTGTTGCTCTCTGCCAGGTGCTGTTTCAGGCACTGAGATGTGACAAAGGACAAAGCAAATTACGCTCTGCCTTCATGGAACTTGTAGGTATTGGATGCCAAATAAGATAAGAAAAATATACGGTATGTTTGGTAAGCACTGAGGAGAACAGGCAGGCAGGGAATTGGAAAGTGACAAGGGGTGAAGTGGCATTTTTTAAAAAAGATTTGTTTTTAATTTTGTGTGTGTGTGTGTGTGTGTGTGTGTGTGTGTGTGTGTGAATGTACATGTGCATGCAGGTGCCTACAGAGCCAAGAAGAGGGTTTTGGATCCTCCTGGAGCTGAAGTTATAGGCAGTTGTGAGCTGCCTGACAAGGGTGTTGGGAGCTGAACTTGGGTCCTCTCTGCAAGGGCAGTATGTGCTTGTAACTACTGAGCCATGGCTCCAGCCCTGGGATTACATTTTTATAGGGAAGGACTTTGGAAGGAAACAGGAAAGATCTGAGGGCATCAAGGGAAGCAGTCATGTGTGTATCTAAGGGAAAGTGTTCCCTGGAGGGAAAGAGCAGGTGCAAAGGTCCTGGGATTGGAGCTTTCCTGGTATATCTGAGGAACTAGCAACAACAGCTGAGTGGCCGGACAGTCTTAGGAGGGGAGGAGGCTAGAGCAAGAACAAGAGGCCAGGGCCCTGTGGACTCTTTTAAGGATTCTGGTTTTTTCTCTACATGAGATAGGAAGTGCTTGTCTCTGAGCTGATGAAATACATGCTACATTTTTGTTTTTGCAGAATCAGGCAGGTGTGGTGGTGCATACCTGTAATCCCAGAATTTAGGAAGGAGGTTGAGGCAGGAAGACCAGGAGTTCAAGGTCAGCGTTACTATGTACTAAATTTGAGGCCAGCCTGGGATACAAGAGACCCTGTCACAAGCAAAGTTAACTAACTATGCATCTAGAGTGTCCATTTAGAAAGCTGATGAAAGAGAGCGAGAAAAGGAAAATACCCTAAGCTAGAACCGCATTGGACAGTTCCATAACATATAGCTCACGTCCATGATTGTTTGACAAAACCCACAAGTTCTTGTGTTTAGGGCAGTGCAAATGCTCTAGAATATTCTCAGGGAAAGAAAAAGGGGCCAAGGACACTTGCTGGTTGAAAATGAAGATCATAAGGACATTGGGTTTCAGGGAGGAAGACAGGGTACATAGCTCAGTTGGTAGAGTGCTTGCTTAGCATGCACAAAACCCAGAGTTTGATCCCTAGAACCCCATAAACCAGGCATGGTGGTACCTGCCTGTAAACCTAGCACTGGCAGAGACAGAAGGATCAGAAGTTCAAGGTCATCTTTAGCTAGATGGTGAGTTTAAAGCCAGCCTGAGCTACACTGAGACCCTGCCTCAAATCAGAAAGAAGAAAACAGTTTTAAGTGGGAGTTGGTCTGAAAACAGTTTTGTGGGATAGGGTGCTAGGGAGGAGAAAGCAGAGCACCCTTCCTGGGGCTAGAGAAGAGGTCTGAGGATGGACTGGGCATGGGACTCCCTCCTCCAGAGCCCTCTGAGCAGCACAGTACACAGCATGGTTTCCTCCCTGTTGTCCCAGCTAAATTACTAAGAATATTCCTTTTGTTCCCCAAAGTCTTCTAGAGGGACAGTAAATTATATGATCACCATTGCTAAACATGTTACTGAGAGCAGCTTGGTTTAATAAATTATATGAGCACTCTACCGCCTGAACAGATTACTGGTATCATTCTTGTTTAACAAATTATACAATCATTCTATTTGCTAACCAGATTACTGATAGCATACATACTTAATAAATTATATGATCACCCTACCTATTAAATTGATTACTGAGACTGTTCATGCTCAAGGATTATGTTTTTGACTTTCCCAGGAGAATCAAGCATAGGATAGAGGAAATAGCCAGTGTACACAATGAAAAGGCAGTAACAGCTGACAAACAGCAATGCATGTGTGTTATGACACAAACATACAGCATTTAGATGCAAAGAGTTTACCTCATTCTTCGATTTAATCAACATTTAGTGAGGGCTCCTGTGTGCCAGGTGCTGTAGTGAATACCAAGAACATAGAGATGAATATGCAGGGCTGGAGGTCTTTACAACATCTGGAGTGCCCGAGCATGTACCATCTCATTCAGTTCCCACGCCAATCTCCCGCATGTGTGAATTATCAGGCTCACTTTGCAAGTTAAGGGACTGGATGCTTGGAAAGGCAAATTGATTTGTATAAGATCAACACGGATTTTTGTCCAGGTCTTCTGAGCCTCGTTCCAGTTTTATGTCCAGGGTGGCATCTGGGTACTTTGGATGTAAGTAACATCTTCAAAGTGTTACAAATATGAGGCTGGGGAGATGGCTCAGTGGTTAACATACTTGCCCCCTATGTATAGTCCTGGATTGGGAGAGGGAAATAATTTATATTCATGGTTTATCTTGATTCATGGCAGGGTCTTAGGCAATCACTTCACATCTCTGGGTCTTGATTTCCCCTCCCAAACTACTGAGTTGCTGTTCTAAGGGATGGAAATGAAGGAGTAGGGTGGATGGACCACAGGGTGGTTCTCGTGAATGATGGCATGAATGATGGCAACAGTTTCCCACCTGTGCCACAGCTCTGAATGACTCCGGAAGAGAGTGCAGAGGTGGCCCTAGGCTAGTCCTCCCTGAAGAGGTGATCCCTGGCTCCCACCATACCCCTGCTTTTCACTTGACCTTTGGGAGAGTGCCCTGGGTCCTCCCCCAGACTGATGACTGACAGTTTCCTTTTTCACTGCTTCTTTCCAGCCTCTTTCCTGCCCCACCTGCCCCTTCTGGGGGCCCTCTGGCTTGTGCTGTCTATTTATGGCACCTCCTAGGGACCTGAATTCCTGGCTAGTTCCCAGATCTCCTTTCCATATCAGACCAGTTTCCCTCAGAGGCCCCAGAGTGCACAGCTAATCTGCAGGAATCAGGTGCCAGGAACCTGGCTCCTCCTCCTGCAATTGGCCCTAAATTCTTTTTTAGGGCTAGCACAGCACACCGCGTCCCCTTATTAACCCTCTGGGGACACAGCTCTGTCAGTCTCCCTCCTGCACAGTAGGGTATTTTATTCAAGGTCACACAAGGAGTCAGTGGGTTGCTGGAGTTTGAACCCAGCCAAGGCTTTTCCCACTATGTCATGCTGCCTGGAATTTAGAAGCACGGAGAGCTGGCGTTCACACTCCCTGGCTGCTGGCCTGACACTCCCCTGAACACCTGCAGATGAGCTGATTTATTCCTCATCAAGATATTTCTGGATGATCTTGTGGTGGTGCCCATTTTACTGATGAGGAACTGAGTCCTGGAGGTTGAGTGACTGGCCTAACGTGGTACTGCTACGCAGGGCAGAACTCTTGGCTTCCAAAGCTCTTAGCCTCCTTTAGTCAGTCACTACTCCTGCCAGGCTCCGGAGGCCAGCTGAGGGAGAAGGGGAAGGAAGCACCTGGGATGGGAAGCCAGAGAGCTCAGGAGTTCTGAGGAACAGGCTCTGGGAACCATTTAGTATTGAGTGGGATGCATGTTGGGGTTACTGGCTTAGAGACGCCTCATAGTTTGGATGAAAATGAGGAAAGAAACACTCCTGGCCTGTCTCCATGGCCCTTTCTGCTGGTGGTAGTGGCTGGGAGGAACTGGATTAAGCCTAGGAAAAGCTGCAGCCTTTCATTCGGTGGCCCATTTCCATGACACTCAGGGGTTCTTCTGATGGCTGAGGGGGATGGGTCAGGGTGACTGATCCTTGGGTCTTGGAGGGATACAAAGCTGCCCTCACTGGGAAGGAGAGAGGCTAACAGAGGGGCTGGCGGAAAGTAGAAGCCTTACCAGGGGAAAGTT